ATCAGTCTAACACTGTCGCCGTGTGAGTACAAATGATGGATTATGACACAAGGTGTGTCGTAGTTCATAACAAATCTTCCGCATCGACACCAGCCGCTTCTTTTGCAAGTCGGAGGTCTCTACCCTCAATGCCGATATCACGGAGGTAGGGCTTGAAAGATTCCAACAAGTCCCCAAGACCATTCTTCATCGAAGCCACCATGAGTTCAATATCGGGAATTTTTCGGGCTTCCTCTTGGGCTTCGGGTTTACTGGATGGCGGGAAGTATACGTCAGTCCAGTGTGCATCCAGTCCACCTTGATGCACAAAAACTTCTAAAGTCACGATTGTTTCCGTGAACAGACGAATCACAGAAGGAACATCGGCCTGGACCCGACCGTATTTGTCCTCTGCCAGACTAGCAATCAAAAGTCGAGTCAGAGCGTCGACGGCATCCACGACCAGAGTAAGAGAGGATTCGGGGGAGCCGAGGACAATGTTCGATGCGCATTGGGCATAGCTTTGACGCAGAGGCTGGCCGATTGGCGAACGAAGGAACTGAGCAATGATCGGATGGACATCTTCGGGCTTGTGAGTGAGAGAAGGGCCACCTGTGAGTAGCTTCAACTCCTTGGAGGTAGCAATGAGTTTTCGTTTTCGCTCAGGGCTGAGCATGGCGGATGAGGCTTGGTCAAAGACTTGGCGAGCACGAGCCCGCGCCATAGGAGTCCAGTCGGAAGACTGGCCATAGGACTTGACTGTCGAGCCGAAAGAAGCGCCAAACTTATCCGTCCGGGAGGTTGCCTTAGGAGCGTCTGCGAAGATGTTGTCGGTTTTGGGTGCTTCTGTCAATTTGGGAAGAGTTTGGAGAACAGGCTGTGAGGTTTGCGCTGGTGGCTTAGAGCCTGGGGCAGGTGCCTTGCTTGCTGAAATTCTGTCCGGGATGGCTTTGATCACACTAGTCAGGGAAGTGACGATTTGAGACCAGCTAGAACCACCTTCGCGATCAATCTCGTTGAAGATTGTCTTGCGACGCTCGGGAAGAGTCTGGCTGATAAGACTGAGCTCCCAGAAGGCGAAAGCTTTCGCCACTTCCTTCTTAGCTTTCAAGCCATTGATCAGGCTGCCATTGGGGTCTTTGGCTTCAGCGGTAAGAGGCTGGCCGCGCTTCAATGGCTCCTTGCCGATAAATACTGAGAAGAAAACGTTGGTCGATTGCCATAGCAGAACCAGGAACGAGCCCGAGAAGAAGGTCCGAATGAGCAGAGGAACGAAGCTCGGGGTCAACAGGAGAGTACTAGGCTGCGCAGATGACCGAGAGAAGTTCCAAAACAGCTTTGCGAAGTACAAGGACCAGCTCCATGCAGCCTGGCGGAAGAACAGAGGGTAGACCACGGGAAGTAAACCAGCAACGACTGCACTTCTTGATAATCCGGTTGCGATCATTGGAGGAAGAGCACTTTGGATGTGTGCCAGAGTCGGAGGCACAGGGTGGGTGCGCTTATCGCCATTCTCGGGTGTTCGCTTGGCCACAGGTATGGGGACGCGGTCATAATCGCAGTACAGGTGGAATACTGCCTGGGTGCATGCGAGGAGCAAGTGATATGTGTGAATATAGATGGGTCGCTCGTTCAAGGTGGGTCTTTCGTGAATCCTGCATCGAGTCAATTTCTGCGTTGTGTCAAATTTCGTGGATTGCCTTAGCCTACCTGCCCCGTTTCACCATTTCAAGCTCTGCACTAGCTGGTGACGACCAGAGATAAATCTCGGTGAAGATCCATGCCGAAAAAATATACCAGCCAAATGTCTGAACAATTTGTAGGGGGAAGAGGTATTGAAAGGTCCCAAGCGAGGATTTAGCCGTTCTTGAGCCAATGTGGAGTTGACCGACACGAAGGACGAAGATGGAGAGAGATGAAATAAAGAGCATAACGGTGCGGATACCGCATGAGCCGAGGGGAAACCATGCCCAGAAGACTTGAAGATTCAAAATCGTTAGCTATGAGGGACAGGAGAAACACCCAGGTTGCCCCAAGCGACGCCTTGACACTCACAGGATGATGTGTGACCAATTGAAATTGCAATAGCATAGCAAATCAAGAAAGAAAGCGCAGAGGCATGAACAAAGCGTCGATGTAACGCGGACGTCAATATCCGACGGTATGGTCGGGGTTGTGCGGGGGCCATGGTGAGAGAGCTGGAGTGGGATGGGTATTCGTTCAAAAGGAAGGTGGTTGCGACAAGGCTCAAAGCATGGTCCGAATGAGCCTCTGAAGAGCTGCAGAAGCTGCAGAGGATAACGATATATCCAGCGACGGCGATGGCGGGGGGAAGATGCCGAACGGGGAGTATGTGTGTTGTTGCGCCGACGGGTGGTCAAGCCGAGTCCATGAGATAATGGAATATTTTGAGGCATCAAAACACACCAGCCACATATGTCATGTGACATGTGGCTCACCGCCCAAATTGTGGCACATGAAGTGTTGCACGGTGGGCTAACCTATCAGGGACTAGTGCGGCAGATAACGTCATGTGAGGAGAGGAGGTGGTGCCTGCAGTTCCCGGAGGCAGCAGGGCGCATCTTCCTTCGATCACGTACACTTCCTTTATCTGCCGCTATCTGTCTTTCTCTCTTTTGCATCACTCCCACAATATGTCTTTTGATCGCTTAAACTCACTCGAGGCCCAGAGCGGGTTCTCTAGATCCGAAGATGCCCAGTACCGCGATGACCCCGGGTTTGACCAGCTGGCTGAGTCGCTCTCCGATCAGTTGTTCACCTTGAATTCCAACACTGCTCGCCTAACCCACCAAATCAACCTGCTTGGAACAAAGCGGGATACCGAGCGTGTGAGAGAACGGGTACACAATATGCTGGAGGAGACTCGAACGGGATTCAAGGATGTTGGAGACGGGTTCAAGAAGATCCAAACATGGGAGGATGTCAATGTACGTTTCCGAAGTACCACCACATGCCTTGAGGGGATGTGTTTAACTAACAGATGAAAAACTTCAGGCATTGCAAAAATACAAACAGCAGAAGCTATCGTCCGATTTCAAAGCCGGCCTAGATGAATTCCAGACCGTTCAGCGTCGCGCACTGGAGAAACAGCGAGCATCTGCAGTGGCAGCACGTACCGCTATTGAAGATGGCGAGCACGCACATGATAATACCGATGTTCAACTTCAGCGGCAACAACAGTTGCAGGAGGCTTCCCAACTCGCTAACCAAGGCGAGGTCGATTTCCAAGAATCCCTGATTATTGAACGAGAGACTGAGATCCGGAATATCGAACAATCCGTGGGAGAGCTGAACGAACTTTTTAGAGATGTGGCTCATATAGTGACGGAGCAGGGAGGCCAGCTGGACATAATCAGCGACAACGTTGAGAATGTTAATCAAAGCACTCGTGGCGCGAATGTGGAATTGAGAGGAGCCAGTCGCCATCAGAAGCGAGCCCGGTCGACCGCCGTCTGTCTTCTTCTTATTTTGGCTGTAATTCTCACTATCATCATCCTGGCAGTCGTGATCGGATAGATGTCTTCTGCATGGCTTTTCCCTCGTTGCTTTTGTGATATTTGGCGCTTTATCTCTTTTCTTCATGTCTGTACACGATATCCCTGATGTATTATTCCTTAGTCACAGCCCCCTCCCTGTGAACATTTCCCGTCCTTCAAGTTCCTGAGGCTACCCTGGCCTTGTTTTAGCCGGATTGAATTGAATAGTAGACACCAATGGAATGGAGAACATCAATTCCTTCTAGATCCTCGATCTTCTAGTGTAAAATACTATAGTACAAAATTGTGATACATAAATTATACAGATGCCCTTTGAGGCCCCAGCTATGCCAAACCCATGCTCCATGTTCGCCGTTAAAAATATCTTGAAGGGATCTGTCCCTGTCGTGAAACCGCGTGCGATTTCGTCAGAGCCCCACATACTGACAGAATCTCATTTTCCAACCTTCATAGCTGTTCAACTTAGGCCGAACATCCAGATAGAAGCTCAGTTTTCCAGGGCCAGCGTTTCCAGCCAACCCGGCCGGGTTACCATTGCTGCCCGTAGTTTTCCCTTGGTAGAAATCAATGACATATTCAATGCGCTCTCCATCGCAGCGCTCAACAACCCAGTCATGACGATCGAAGGGCAATTGATATCCGAGGATTCCGTTAAATCGAGCCCGGGGGCTCAAGAATTGAGGATCAACTCCGAGTCCACGAAATGAATATAGCTTAGGTCCACCGCACTTCTTGCTGCCCGGATCGGAGGACGGGACCTTGCCTTCCCAGTCAAGAATCTGTTTCCAAGCACGTTCATTGACGGCGTTGTGAATGGGGATGATCGAGGCGACGGAGGTGGCCAATTCGGAGGCCGAGGCCGTAGATCCAGGCGTATTACCCTTGCGCATCAGGGCCTCAAAAAACTGCTTTTCGGAAGGATAGATCCAGTTACCGCTAGCCTCATCATGGCCAGTCTCGGATTCGGCATTGGAAGGCAAGCCATGCGACGCGGCATTTGCGGCTTCGTATGGAGATGGAGGTTTCTTATTTCCCTCAGGACAGGCTTGTGCTTCTTTCTGATCACCGGCCCGCGGAATTGTGCTAATTTCTCGATCTGTCGATAATGGTCGTTGGTGTTTTGTCGAGGCTTGAGACTGGTCTGGCGAGGACGGAGGATGAGGCGCATTGCCGTTCTGTTGTAACCAGACCTCACGGGTCTTGTGATCTACAGGGCAAGTTGCGGCCGCTGCAGGGGGTTCTGCAGCAGCAGATGGGGTACTTGCGCCGGCGCCCATGTTGGATGTTATGAAGATGCAGAGTGGATTGAGTGGATTGCTAATCCAAAGAAGTAAACTCCAATCGGCGGAACAAATTTACCTTCACCGCCTTGTTGGCCGCCCCTAAACTTGACCGCCTCCTATCATCAACAGATTTGTTTGCTAGTGCCCCTCTCCCTTTTCTTGATTCATTCAAGTTCTCAGACTGTGTTACTAGTATCTCTCGGTTATTCTATTCGAGATAATGGCGTCTACTTCCAACCAGTCCGTTTACCGGGCTACTACCACCGCTCCTGTCAACATTGCGGTCATCAAGTAAGTCAAACCTGCCCCTCTTCAGCTGTATCTGACAGCCAAACATGGAATTTCCCTGCAAATACAAATACAAATAGGAATGAAAATGAAAATGAAAATGGACTAACTAATACGGATGAAAATAGATACTGGGGCAAGCGTGATGTTACTCTCAACCTCCCCACCAACTCGTCTCTTTCCGTCACTCTCTCCCAGCGCTCTCTTCGCACCCTGACCACCGCTTCTTGCTCTGCCAATTACCCCGCTGAGGATACCCTGAACCTCAATGGCCAGCCCCAGGAGATCCAGTCCTCCAAGCGTACCCTCGCTTGTCTCTCCAACCTTCGCGCCCTCCGCAAGTCCCTCGAGGATGGCGATGCTTCCCTCTCCCAAGCTTTCGACTCTGCCCCTACGCATTGTCTCCGAGAACAACTTCCCCACCGCTGCTGGTCTTGCCAGCTCTGCTGCCGGCTTCGCTGCCCTTGTCCGGGCTGTGGCTGATCTCTACTCGCTTCCTCAGTCTGCACGGGAGCTGAGCCGTATTGCGCGACAGGGCTCGGGCTCTGCCTGCAGGTCCCTGATGGGTGGCTATGTCGCGTGGCGCACTGGTGAGCTCGCCGATGGCAGTGACAGTCTGGCCGAGGAAGTTGCCCCCGCCGCTCACTGGCCTGAGATGCGGGCTCTGATCCTCGTTGTCAGCGCCGAGAAGAAGGATGTCCCCAGCACTGAGGGTATGCAGACTACCGTTCACACCTCCGACCTCTTCGACCACCGTGCCAAGAACGTTGTTCCTGAGCGCATGGCTGCCATTGAGGCTGCCATCCAGGCTCGCGACTTCCACAAGTTCGCCGAGATTACCATGCGCGATTCCAACACTTTCCACGCCACCTGCCTTGACTCGTGGCCTCCTATTTTCTACATGAACGATGTCTCCCGTGCCGCCGTTCGCCTTGTGCACGATATCAACCGCGCTGTTGGCCGCACTGTTGCTGCCTACACCTTCGATGCCGGCCCTAACGCCGTCATTTACTACGAGGAGAAGGACGAGGCGCTTGTTGCCGGCACCGTCAAGGCTATCCTCGGTGCCAGCGCCAGTGGCTGGGAGGGTCCCTTCTACGAGAAGCTGGCCAACGTCACTGCCCCTGGTGTCTCTCTGGACCAGATCGACTCTCGGGTCGTGTCTGGCCTGAAGGATGGTGTTAGTCGTGTCATCCTTACTGGTGTCGGAGAGGGCCCCGTCAGCGTTGAGGATCACCTTGTGACTGAGACTGGCGAGATGGTCAACAACTAGAAGATCGAAGATGAATTATGATGCACAGCGAGCTTGCTTAAAATGACTTCGACTATACCCCAATCCCCTTTTGAAAAGGGCGAATCCAAATCGAGTCGTTGCAAAGATGATGCGGATCAATTTCCGTTATTTCAATTCTCGTTTACCAGATCTCTTTCAGGAACATATTTCGTTGCATAATATATTTGAAGCCTCACACGAAAGGCATACTTAGACTCAATTAATATCAAATGACTTTCAACGGGAACATTACTTGCTGCATAGTGTACTCCAGGCTAGTAGCAATTGGTGTCTCAAACGAAAGGCCACCTTCGATGAGTATTGGGTTACTATCCGCCACCTGCAGAACCTAGTAGATAGAAGACTTCAGTAGAAGCCGTGGCAATCCTTTCGCCCAACTAAATCCTGGCTCCAGGGTTGCAGTTCGAGTCACGGTCTCAATGCTTGATTCCGGTACACGAAGATTAGCCACCTGAACAGGGAGAGCAGTCATCGCACCGAGCAAATCCATATCCAAGTCGACGACATCTCTGAATAAATCGTTTCTGCTGTGTATCAGAAACACAGCACCCTTGAAATCCACAACTTCTATAGCTGAATATAGCCCCGACATCACTGCAGACTCGAATAGTGTTATTATAACTTCCGGCGCAGTGACATTTTACCACCAGGGCTGATGATGATGGTGTGATGTGCAATTCCAGAAGGGAAATGGCTAGTAGGCCATGTGTGAGAAATTTCATATTCTACAAGGTAAGCCTGGGTACTATATTGTACAAAATTCGAGATTTTCACTCACCAGTTTTTGAAGATGATGTAAACCACGATGTTATGTGAGCCCGGTGTAGAGAGTACGGCGCTTGCAAGAGATCATTTTGCATTTTGCAACCGGGTTCAATCTTTTAGAGATATGAATTTCTCCGAGTCGCAGAAACTGGGGCATTGGGCAAAAAATGACTGCCGGTATCTCTTCTGTTGTGCGACTTTACTCTTAGGACTTCTGTATACGGATGATCTTTTCAGCCTAGAACTTTAAAAACAGCTACTACTGCTATACATGGGTCGCTCTATTGATTGCTTTTCGAGATTGCCGTGTAACAATGTTCTCATGTGTACTCGCATTGTCCCTTTCTAGTATGCACTGTTTCAACTCGGGTTGCAACGTCGGGGACCTGTCCCTGCAGGTTTCGCACTTTCCATGACGAGGTATTTGGCTTCGAGTCGTGGTATTTTGTTTCCTTATGCACGTTGTTTGTATGCGCTCTTGATTTCGCTCGAATTTAAATTTGATATTTTGGCGATCTGAGCCTCGACCTCGAATTACTAGTATACACGAAGGTGCAGATAATTTCTCAAAAATGTAGATTAAATAATGAGCACCTTTTCTTGCCTTCCACACTTACAACAATGTAGCAAGCATGCCACATAACCCTCCAATCAGAGGTAGAACTCCTCTAATTTGATTGAGAGTTGTCCAGCGCTCAACCAGATTCACTGTCTCCGCATCGGAAGCCTCTTTTGTTGATTCGCTCTTTTCTAAGAGCTTGTTGTTTGTGTTTGACATAGCAACGAACGTAAATGGGACAATGCTTATTGTCAGGACCGCTGCTGCGGAGAATAGTACCGATCTGCTGATAGGAGTCTTTTTGAATAAATGACCCCCCGATCGAACAGACCAAGCAAGGTAGATGAAAGCAGAAGTCACGCCAACTGCGACAGGTGGGTTCTTTGTTTTGCCATTTTCAAACAAATTCCTCCATTGTTTGGCCAGCAGTCCAACAGGAGGATTATCTTCTTTTTGAGATCGGATAAGAGCAGGTGTGGTGATAGTGCTAAGGGCTGCGATATTACCTGCCAGTTTGAAGTTAGATGAAGGTCTGAATTTATGTACTATAGAGCCACACCTACCTGCTAGCCATGCTGCACCGGAGATGCCGACAGCCTGCGCCACACGGAAACCGAAGGGATATGATGCCATTTGGAGGAAATTGAATAGGAAAGTTGAAAATTTCGAGTAAATCAGTAGAAAACTACGACAGATTTAAATAAGTTCCAGATTAGAGTCATGATGGTATGATTGACGCGGTGGAGATATGGTTAATGGTTAATGGTCATGGCCGGGGCGCGCAGTGCCCGACATTCCGGTGAGATCCGCCAACGCTCCACTTAAAAGTCTTGATCGGCCTTTAGCGGGTTTTGGGCGGTCTTTGCCGGACTCTGGGGTCTTCCTCGGGATCCTCATGAATTTCACATTAAACTGTTGGAAATGGCACTGGCTCTCATGGTCTGATGGAGAAATAAAATCTCACACTTGAAAACCCGTGGCAGGGCTTCAATTAAGCGCGTTGCCCGTTACTCCAAGGAACTTGGAATGCGGGCCTTCTGCTACCCGGCGTCCATGCACATTATGTTGGCCAAAACAAATACGCCATGACTTTACAGTCTGCTGTGTCGCGGGGCTTTTCCAGGGCTTTTATTTGGCATCCCCTAAAGCCGCAATTAAGCTATCACACAGGAAGGTTTAACAAAGCCAAAAGGCACACCCCGAGAGCATTTCGCTTCTAATCAATCATACTTTGGCTCACGCTCCCGATTATTTATGGGCTCTTGTCCGTGGCTGAGCGTTAAAACTCATTCCAGTTCTTTATTTGATCTCATATGACGTGGGTCGAATGATATATGAGCCTAATTTTGGTCCAACTCCACTTCAGCTCGACTATCTTTTCGCTAGCGTTGACAATCCCGGCGTTACCAAAGTAAGGGGGATTCTGAGCTTTAATGCGAGTTGGTCCAAAAGGGATCGATTAATAACCATGATCCTGAATCAGATCAACACGAACGAATTCCCTTGTTACACCAAGTCAGGCCTAATTGAAATTGGCGGTGAAGACTCTCTTCTATCCCCATGTGGTTCTTGGGTAAGCTTGTCTACACTGTGTTCGGTTTGAGCTGCGGGTCTAGGTTTTCTTGGTATATGTGTTAATCAAAGCAAAAGAAACAGCTGACTGGAACCATGGCCCGTCAATCATTTGCAACGCTGCCGCCCGAGATACGCGTGTGTATTGCCGAACGCTTAGATCGAGATGATCTCCTCAGCCTTGGCGGCGTCAACAAGAATCACTTCGAACTTCTGCGACCTAAGATTGTTGGCTACCGGCTTCTCTGCGCATTAACCCAGAGAAATGAAACTCTTGCCATAGAGATCCTACAGAATAATTTGCAAACCGACTTAAATGTACGCTGTCGCAAACACATGTCGGCAATCCACATTGCTTCTTCAAATGGATTCAAAGAAATTCTCCGGCTTTTACTCGTGGATCGTGGACACAAATACCTTCTTGATGCCCGTGATATTCACAAGAACACGCCCCTGATATATGCCGCTCGTTATAGCGACGACGAGACCATATCTTTTCTTATTGAAAAAGGGGCTGACATCAATGCGCAAAATGTTTATGGGGAAACCGGGCTTCATTTGGCAAGCTCTCGAGGAAAAGAGGTGGCTGTGAACCGCTTATTAGAAGCAAACGCCGCGGTTTCCGTAGCCAATACAGCTGGAATGACACCACTTTGGTATGCTACTACACGGCAGTATGTAGCTATCGCAAAACGCTTGGTGGTAGCAGGCGCAACTATTCCTTCTCGAAATTCCGGCGGGGACACGGAGCTGCACCTAGCAGCACGTTTCAACAGTTTTGAACTAGCAAAGCTATTTCTCGATAAAGGGGCTGATCCATCTGCTTTTGACATAGCTGGATGGACGCCGCTGATCTGGGCTGCCTGGAATGGCAATGCGGAATTGGCATGGATTTTAATCTTGAATGGGGCTAATGTGGTGGCGACCGATAAAGATGGCAGTTCAGCGCTAGACTTTGCAATCCGAGCAGGCCACACCGAAGTCTCGGATCTCTTAAGGGGTCAAATAGGCGGCTGAGCAGGGTTACAAGGCTTTTTTTATACCAACGAGATTCCAAGTTACAGTATACCGATTTGCTCCGAGATATATCCAGAGAAGCCTGTCATTATCTTAGATCTTTGTAGTATTTAATTGCCCAAACACTTGTTTAGTTATACAACTTTCCAAGTTGTCAACTCAAGTTCGGCTGGGTTAAAGTTCGGAGAGAAAAGTCCGAGTTCTTATACCCGAAGGATGAAACACATCGTCTGAAAATGTCAGAGCTTCTATTATGGACCTGGGGATAGTCGGTGGCCGGGGGCTCCATGGCCCGACATTCCGATCAAATCAATCGATGCGAACGGCGGGCAAGACTCCACTCGAGCTTTCATCGGAGTTTGGCACGGTCTTTGCCGGACTCTGATAGGATTGCATGTCACCTGCGCGCTGGTTGCCTGGAGGTGCTATTATAAAGAAATATGACGCCGGTTTCCCCTGTCGGCATTAAATTACACTTTGACATCTTTATGATTTAGTATTGCCCCCATACCTTCACATTATCTCACCCCTCGTCTTATACAATACCTCAACCATGGTGTCTTCACGAGGTTTATGGCACGCGCTGAAGTTTAGACCAACGATAATTTCAGCCGTTGCAGTTGCAGGAGCTGGTACATACTATGGCACACGGTCGTTGCTCCCATCAGGCCATGCAGAGTCAATAGAGGCACCGAAGGTTTTTGGCGGCTTTGGCCCTAAGACCCTACGCCTCCAGAGCGTCGACCAGGTCAATCACAATACCAAGCGTTTAGTCTTCGAGTTTCCAGATCAGAGTGCCAAGAGTGGCCTAACTCTGACCTGTAAGTTTTCATTCACAAATGGCTATTTCACCAATTTACTAAAATTCAAGCAGCTGCCCTTCTTACATTCTCGTGGCCACAAGGCCGATGGCTTCCAGTCCTTCGTCCATACACACCTATAAGCAATCTCGGTAAGAGACGTTGAACCCCCATTGAAAGCCTCATGGCCCCTAACTTCACTTGTCTATAGAGCAAGAAGGTTCATTAGAACTGATGGTAAAAAAATACCCAAACGGAAAAGCTAGTAGCCATCTCCATTCACTCGCGCCCGGCGACACACTCACCTTTATGGCGGCGCTAAAGGGGTATTCATGGACGCCAAACAAATTCTCCCAGGTTTATTTAGTTGCGGGCGGTGCAGGAATCACACCCATATACCAGCTTGTCCAGGGCATTCTGAGCAACCCAGAGGATCAGACCAAGATCAATCTTGTGTTCGGTGTGAACACAGAGCAAGATCTTCTTCTCAGGAATGAGCTCGAGCAATACAGAAAGCAGTTTCCTGATCGTTTCGAATATGTTTATACCGTCAGTCACCCGAAAGAGGAAGGCACCAGTCTTCGCAAGGGCTATGTGACGGAAGAACTTCTCAAAGAGGTGATACAGGGCTCTGGAAAAGATACTCACGTCTTTGTCTGCGGCCCACCTGGAATGGAGAACTCTTTGGTTGGATCTCGCAGTGCCCCGGGTATTTTGAGTCGATTGGGATTTGAGAAGGACCAGATATATAAGTTCTAGATTTTAGTAGACTGTACAAATTTTAAAACAATCCAAGAAAGGGGCCTTAAATGTAAACTTGAAGCCAACCTTATCATGTGTCTTCGAATACTATGCTCACGAAATCTTCATCCGCGTGCCCCTACTACCGCCTGGGCATCGAGAGCAGCTCCCAGAACCAGTACTAGTCTACTGGTGCAATGCCTGGTCAATTGAAACTGTCCTTTCCTTTGGCTGTCTGGTGAAAATATAAAATCAAGATGATAAACCACTTTTAGCCTAGTCAATAAGTTCAGGGCTGGGGTTGCAAAATTTATCCAAAAAAGACCAGGGTGGTGTTCTTGAAACCCTAGACCTACTTTCGTAGAGATGTCTTGTTCTTATTTCTGCCCCGCTTCAACAAAGCTCCAGTGAGTGGGGCAGACTAGAATATCATGAAGTCATCCTACGCGGTCGGCTATGCCGGTAAGTACTCGAGAGTAATTTAGCACCTAGTAGTATATGCTTAGATCTGTTTTCCTTTTATATGTGTCAACGAAATGAGAATATTTTTTGGTGCTTCGATATGAAAGACCAAAATTAGGTTCCAGGTGCTCGGTGAGGATATTAAGATAGGGTCAACAAATCGGGGCGGTGGAAATACTTTTTCCTCTCAGTCGGCCCTCCCCCGCTACCCCATTCCATCAACAATTCAAGAACCAGGATTCCTCGACAACCATCCTAAAAAGCGCATATTAACTCCTGATAAAATGCCTGGACAGGACACCGGCACTCCCCGTGTCTTCCTATACCGTCACGGTAGGTCTCCGGTCACATTCGGGACCAGTTCTCGTCGGAAATATTGCTAACTCGTCACAGGACAAACGGTGTGGTCTCAGAGTGGCCAGTATACCGGTGTGACTGAGCTGGATCTCACCAAAGATGGCCAGCAGCAGGTTCATGCTTCCGGAAAGATGATTGTTGGATCCGGAAAACTGATTGACCCTGTCAACCTCGCCCATGTCTACATCAGCCCCCGCAATCGGGCTAAGCAGACATTTGACATTGCCTTCTCTGATGCCGATAAGCAGGCTCTGAAGGATGCTCAAAAGGTTTCTCAGACGGATAGACTGGCTGAATGGACTTATGGAGACTATGAAGGCCTTTTGACGCGTGAGATTCGCGCGCTGCGAAAGGAGCGTGGGCTGGATTCTGAGCGCCCATGGGATATTTGGCGTGATGGTTGTGAAGGTGGAGAGTAAGCATCACTTTCTTGGAAGCTGTGGGTGACTATATTAACACGGTTTGTAGGTCTGCTCAACAGGTTACCGACCGCATTGATGATTTGATTCGGGAGATTCGTGCATTCCAAAAGGATAGCATGCATGGCGAGAACCCGTCCGACGTTGTTCTCGTTGCCCATGGACATCTTCTGCGAGCTTTCACCAAGCGATGGCTCGGATACCCGATGGAGTTTCCTCTTTCTCTGATGCTTGACCCTGGCGCGGTCGGTGTGCTGAGGTAAGTTACCTGCATCTTTTCCTGCTGTCGGTTGCAGCTGCGAGCACAATTCTGACCATAAGACAGCTATCAACACCACAATATCGAGGAGCCAGCGCTGATGGTTGGGTATGGGTTCCCAGTTGCAGAGTGATATAGGACGATATAGAATCAGCATAAGAATTAGCACATGTCGGGTAACCGCTTCCATGCTGCCCCTCCAGATGTTTGACATAAAGCCACTGAGACCGTTTACTTCGAATATTGCTTTGAGAATAACGTAAATTCTGATATTCAGGCCCATGATGGCATCCTCGAAATACTAATCGTACACTGGCAGCACTGATTTATAAGAAAGAATTTTATGGGCAAAGTATCATATACTATATAAAGAGAAACAGAGAATAAGCATATTATAGATAATATTATTTATCGTATTACCTCGGAGATCATATTTTATTTTAGGGTTGGTCACCATGATTTGAAATTGAAATATACACACTCACTGGTTATAGTGATGTCTATGGGTTTCTTGAGGGGCAAATTGAACAATTCGTTCCTTTCCCAATATTCAATCTCCCACTTTCTTTCCCATCAACCTCATCCAAAACTTCCCCACAGAAATCCCTGACATTTTTCTACTTTTGTCCGTCCACTCATCGCACTTACTAACCGAGACGAAGTAGAAATGTCAAAGGTAAGCCATCCCCGTCTCCACTAAAACCAGGAAGCCCAGGTCATTGAGTTATCTACTTTCAGCGATTGTGAAACAACTACGTAAAGATGGTGTTAGGCTCGACTATACCCGGATCGCCGCCTACTTTGGCCTGGGTATGGATTTACGTGACTCGAAAAACAGCAAAAACTAATCAGAAATGACAGGGTGTACCGGCGAAACCTTTCGAGCTCGCATCAGGCGTGTATTGCTGAAGCCAATTGACGAGTTGACCGACACACCGGACAGCCATGACGAAAGCTCGAACCCCCCGAGGGGGCTCTCCTGAACTCCAGCGCCACCCAGGCTCACCAAACCCTCAAATAGGGCGAACCCGAGCGGGAAGTCAATATCAAGGAGATCTTGCATGAAGCCACCCGGTGTGGCCATTTTGACTTCGGTCAATTCAGACCTTGAGGAGGTCGAGCCTATCAAGCTGGAGCATATCGATTCCCTTTTCGACAACCTCAGGGGCGAAGAAAAAGTTAAAGTGAGTGGGCCATTTGTGTACAGCAATTCGCTTTGAATATCGTGATTAAATCTCTTCTACTGAGCCAGATCAGGCTGACGACCGTCTTGAGGAACCAAAAGAAAACCAAGCAGGCCCCTCACCTCGCCTAGGGCAAGCCCATCCTGAAAGGGGCCTCTTCTGAAGAAGCAAAACACCATCATACCTATCAACAGGAGCGCCAGGGAACGTGCTCAGGTAAATCATCTATCCACTAAGATCATGAAACCCAACTCATTACTTTAGTTGCTCTCCGTAATCTCGATTCAAATTCTTGAAAATGGAATCGAGCCTAACTACGCGATGATCGCTACCTACGTTGGCCACGGTATGTATTTACGTGACTGAAAAGCAACAAGATCTAATTGCAAATGACAGGTTGTACTGCCAATGCCGTTCGATCTTGCACCAGGCGACAGTTATTGGGCTTAATTTACGAATCTGCGACAACACCCAGAAGTAGAGGCGAAACCCTGAAAATCCCCGAGAGCATGCTCTGGAAAGCCAAGGGTACCCGGACTCGTCTCAGATCCCGAAGAAAAGAAACTTCGTGGAGTACAACCCTGACGATGCGGTCAGAGGCGGAGAAGCAGCAATCGCAAAGATGCCGGGAAGTGCAGGAGAAGAATTGTTGAGAGCATAAGGCTCTAATGGCCTAATCATTCCGCAGCGCCACCATTTGTGTAGTTAGAACTTAATGCTACTAGATAGCCTCATTCGGTCATTCATCTCTGGAACTATTCGCTTCGTTCCATATGGTACGATCCATATCCTCTCAGCAGAAAAGACCGAAGTTGACACAGATGATGAGACCGTACTACATCAGCCTACGAAGGGACATGACATTGATGTGCTATTTTATGAGATGGAAATTTTCATCTAGTAAGAGATCGTGGTTATGGGAGGGAGGGGAGGTAGATCCTTTTGTATTGCCTTTGAGGGGGTTGCTTTTAGCAGGGAAATCTGTGGTGAGAATCCACCTAGTATATACGTAGCTATTGCGGTAGATAGTTTGTTGACCTTGCTGCCGGAGCAGATAATCTTGAAAGACAAAAAAAAGGAGTATAATAAGCTTGATTATTCACACCACCACACAAATGAATGCCAGCATATTTACAGCATATCGAGAAATTTATGCCCGGCCTTTCCTCTCATTTATCCATATTCTATGGCAGAGACAAAAAGAACTTCTTCATCTTCGGGTAGTTGGGTGTACCTAGACCAGTGGCCGGATCCCATCTGTGTCTCTAGTCAGCCATCCCCTCTGCGAACTCGACAGAATATAATAGTTTCGAACTCACCCCTCGATGGCACTAAAGCCATATGTGCCACACCCGGCATTTGTACCATTGGTAATATCATTAAGAATCTCGGGGTGCGCATAAAGGACTGGGTTAATGAACCCAACAGGGCCTTTGCCCTTCGCAATACGCTCCTCGTTAATCTAGGAATCGAGGATTAGTGACAGAAAAGACGTATGGCCACGAGAGGGACTGGGAACATACTAGATTCAAAACTGAGGCAAACAATGGCGAAGCCAAGCTCGCCCCGTAATAATGAAGAGCTTTCCCACCAGTATATGCTGGGAAACGGGCGCCATTTGCAGAAACATCCGGGTAGGCACGGCCGATCCTGTTGTAGAGACCCTTGGTTGTGTTGACATCAACACTGAACTCCGAGTAATATGGGTAGGACAAATCAGCCTTTTCAAAGTATTTCTTAACGGTGGCTTTCTGGTAATGAGGCTGGGGGAAGTAATTCGAGAACCCGCCGGAGCTACTGAAGTTAGTCGCTGTGCCCCCGAGATTGGCGTGCATTACACTCTCGGCATCTTCGACTGTTTGATCCGGATATATCATGGTTCCCCCGACTGATGTCACATAGGGACAGTTGGATGGGTATTGTGGGTTGAAAATCTTCTGTTCAGGACCCAAGCAGCCCTTGGCACCACCGTCTCCTGCGAATGATGCGACACCGTAGTCTCCAGATGCAAATAAGATTGAGTGACCCTGGAGACCGAGTTTCATGAATTCGTTACATTGCCTTTTGGTGTAGCTGATAGGGAGATCCGCTTCGGATTGACCGTATGAGGCGCTGATGACGTTTGTTGGCTTGTAGACACCGCATTGGAGCTTTCCTGCGAGAATAAGTAATGGGAAGAAAAATGAATCGTAGAAGATTTACCCTTGTAGCCTCCTTCCCGATTGTCGGGATAGACAGGATCGATGTCTGGGTTATTTCCAGTCTCTCCATACGCGCTGTACGTACAATATGACTGTGAAAAAGTCAGCGATGAAAAGACTTGTCACAATCTAAACATACCCCATCGAGAGCATCAAGGAAGGTGTTGAAGAGATTGGTGGTCGCAACCTCCTGCGGCTCATAGAGTTGATCATCCACCTGATAAAGAGTCACAGATTGGGGATAGATCAATGAATAACTTGAAATTCGTCAGTACTAAGTGTTGCAATGAATGTCAAGATATTAACTCACGCCAAGTCAATATCAATGTTCGACTCCCCGGTGTTGAGTGAGCTGTAGGAAGGCACAGAGAAGTTGGCTCCATCGATCAAAGCTGGGATCGGGTATGTACCCTGGGGGACCCAAGGAGCGTGAGCCTTGAAGAACAAGTCCAAATCTGATTTAGCAAAATAGTCGCCCTGTTCATAAAGTCCTAGCGAGTTCTTCTTGGAAGCCTTGGTAGCTTTTGGGATTCCGTATAGAGCTTTGATGCAGGTTGGCGTCATATTATATCCACATCCTTGTAAATCCTCAGAAAGCGACATAGCTTTAGCAGGAATCGAGTATTTTCCTTCTTCAAACGAGACACCTTCTAGAACGGGGTCGCTGTGGGCAAGGTGAGAGGCACGTTTGGCTTTCTTGTGTTTCCTCAAGACTGGAGTCAACTTGACACCCGGGGTTATGTAGTCAATGTGTCCCTGAATATGACCTGGGACATGGTACCTATGAATTGAATTAGCATGTGGTAGGGGCTTAGCTTTGGGAGGGAGCTGTGTTGACGTACTCGTCGCAGCCAATCTTCATGCTCTGGCTTGCAGTGTGCTTGTGCTCGTAAAATTCCGTCATAAAAAGTCTCTCGGCCTCATGAGCATATGCGTCAAACGCGATCCAGCCCTTGTTGTCCGAATGAACAATCCGCGATGGATCGATTCCCACAGAGTGGAGCCATTCGCGCACCTCCTCGACTGTCTGGCTAGAAGGCGCAAACATGTCATGCACTTCATCGGCAGACCAATACTTACCATACTTCGAGGATTCGGGATTTGATCTAGGAAGATATCAGCATGTCCATTCTTTGACTCTGGTGCATTGATTCAAAGTGCATACACATCCATCAAATAATCATATCCCTTTTCTAGATTATTCTGGGTCAACCCAATGCGCACGGGCAATATCGCATTGCTTTCAACTCGATCACCCTTCACCCAGTCTAATGATCCTTCCTCTCTCTTTTCGTGCAAAACATGTTTGACGGGAGCTGGAGCAGCACCAGACAGTGCTGCAGCGGCTAAAACAGCGCAGAACTGGCGGAACAGCATTATAAGGCAAGGTAGTACTGTAACAGAAAGACAGGTAGCTGCAACGATGCAATTGGGGCAGACGACACTATAAATACATAAACGGGCGATGTAACGGGGCTCGCATGGACCATTTAGCATCCATGTTCATAAACAAAATTGTCCCTATTTCAGCTATCCAGACATGGCGAGTGCAATTTACTAATTTCCCGAGCGATGGACTTGATTGGGTTGAGCGGGAGGAGTATCTGCATGGGGTTATGAGACATAACAAAAAAATATTTGCCGATGATAGCCTAATAGGTGCTTGGTGAGGGGAGTGCGCTAAAGTAGCAGGCATCATGTGTTGATTTCGCATGGTTTCAAGGCTAAGCAATAGACAGTGGAGAACAATTTTGGGAAATCGCTCCACTCGAGGTTAGAGTGGCTGCTAGCGATGCGCATTGTACCATCGGGATTGGTGGGCTTGCGAGATACTTATCACCCCCGCTCCTACCATCTCGCCAAATTGTGTGCTGAAAATGCCGCTAAGTGGGGGTTTTATCTTCAGGGGTTGGCCATGGGTTCCATGCAAGGGCTAAAGGGCGGAGGTCCGACGGGTGGAAACATTTAGCTCGCCGGCTCTCCAACGGGGCTGGCTGCTGGTGAAATGGCACAACTGGGAGGAATCACTAAGCGAATCCCACTAGCTGAGTTGCGAAGGCTATTGGTAGGTTACGGGCGAGATTTTGAACGATGTAACTGCATGGACGAGTCTCAAGTCGTCTAATCCTCTCAGCCTATGGGGTGTCTCGACGCTACTCGTAGTTAGTATTATCTCAAGTTTAAGTTCTAGGTTGGGGCCATAATTTGTGCTGTGCTAGTTGCATGATGCTTCTACCTGTCGGTGAACAACCATAGAAATGTTTATAAGGAAATTGGAATATTTTTATTTGATTCCCAGGGACCGACATTTTCAAAGTTGTGCTAGAAACCAGATGCGCGAATTGACTTCATTTCCATCAAACTTAGGATCGATTTTCGATGATATAACGTTGTTTCCCCCCGCATAACTACTTCCTGAATCAACCATTGATCACAAATGGAAGTTTCCATGATGTAAAGGACAAAATACTAGAATAATAAAGGGGAATGGAAACAGATCAAGCTGTTCGCTCGATTTGAAGTTCGCTCATATCGCTGACAAGGGGCTGAACGTCTATCAATTCCGTTTTTGGGAGCGGTCTTCTGGGGCCTGGTTCTTGGCCTCTCACAGCAGTCAACTGCTCAAAGGCATGAGCCACCGGAAACAAAGACATGTCCCTGAACGGGCCACCGATGAGCAACAAACTATATCTACTTGAAGTAAGTAATTGTCATGGGAAGTCTTATCTTTGCCGGGCCATACTTACGGTCTTTCGGGGGTTATTTCGTCGGTATATCTACCCTGGAAGCCGTCTGGGAAGTATCCCAGGGGTACAGACATCACAGGACCATTCTCTTGCGCAGCAAGCTCGAGTGTAATGCCCTCATCAGATGATGGAATAACGAACATGTCGAGACGGTGTTTTTTCATCGTTGCCCGAATGCCTTGATGCTTGCTGATGATGAGAGCTTTTTCGAGTATCTTTGTGTATTCCTCGTTATTTGCAGCAATACGGGTTGTGCGAGTCCATAACATCTTATTAAGTTCTCTCTCTGTGGGCTCCTCGTTTGGGCATCTTCTGGCAAGGTTATAAACTCTTTGCGCATTTTCAGGATTATTAGAGTCATTCCCCCATCTTGTTAAACATCTGAACGCGTCTTCTTTAAACTCTGACAATTGAACGAGGCTGTTAATTTGCGCCTTGAGCCTTTTGAGCTCCTTGCCCCCGTGGAAGTTGGCATTTTCCTCGATTGTTGCCCCAGTCGAGGCCAGAGTCTTCAGAGCAGCCTCGAATGAATCCATAACTTGAGGGTATGGGTCCGAATCAAAGCTATCACGCGGAATACCAATAGTAAATTCGCTGAGATCCAAGCTTTCATAAATTTCGGCCCATTCGGGTGCCTGGTCCGATGGAATGCCCCGACGCCACTCGTTGTCCTCGTATTGTCCATATATACCGGCCAAAATATCAACAGTATCTTTGACAGTTTTCGCAAGGATCCCTATAGTAGGCGTTCCTTGTGGCGAAAACCGAAAATACCCAGACTTCATCATAGACCGTGTTGTGGGTTTAAAACCAACAAGGTTGAAATCAGCGGCATTCGCAATGACCCCAGATTCCTTGACACCAGCATTAGCATTTTTTAGCAGGAAGCAAGATATAGAGATACTCACCGCAGTTCCAAGTGAGGCCACAGATAAACCTATGGCAGTTGCCACGGCTGAAGCTTTGGCACTTCCAGGTAAAGTGCCGGGACCGCTGGGAATGGGGAAACGTGAATAATTGATGTAATCACGAAGGCTGAATTCGGGATACTCAATCCGATACCCCGCATCATCATCTAGATTCGTCCTACCCAATATTATCATTCCAGCTTCCCGAAGTCTATTAAACTCCATAGGGTCCCTTTTCTTCCTTAATTCCAGCGGCAGAGAGGAGGCTTTGGGTGCAAATTTCTGCCACCCAAACGGTAAAAACTCATCTTTGACGAGAATAGGAATTCCATGGAGAGGACTATCGATTAGGATGAGGCATGAGTAACAAAAAAAATAAAAGCCAGATGAGACCGAGCACATACCTTCTGCTTCCCTTCTCGGCCCGTTCTTTGTCCAGCATCTGGGCCACCTCCAAGGCATCTCCATCCATATGCATGACGATCGTGAGATGCTTTGTCTCCTCAATTCTTTTGAGATATGCCCTGACAAGGTCAACGGAAGTGAACTTTCCCGTTCGCAGCCCTTCGCCTGCTTGGGTAATTGTGAGATCTCGAAGACACGGGAGACTTGCGGTCCCTAGCTTGAGTGTGAGCCGGCTTCTAAAAAGAGCAAAGGAGTGAAAATTATAAACCCATACCAGTATCATCGCTAGTCATTATTGCGGATGTGATGTTGAAATAAGTTCCAAAGTTTTTGATATGAGACAGCTCTTAGCTTGGGATGTAAGAGCCTTTTATGCTTGATTGCATGGAGTCGTAGGGAGGGGCAGCTCTAGTCTATCGTAGAAGTGCACGAAAGAGACAAAGAACGAAGCCCGAACCTCGATGACGTCGAGCAGTCTTTGTTTACCACCTGGACAAATCTCCAAAATCGTGATTATGCCCGGGTGTTCTGGCAGTTTCAGAATTGCCAATACCGACGGCTACACTGACAGAGAAGACCGGGAGCCTAACGAATACATAAGAAACGAGTGTCTGAGGCGGCATTGCGGAAAGATTCGGTATAAAGGGGACCCTATCTCTACCACTAACAAGAAGCTCATTTTTCTTTCATCGATCCGCCAGCCCAGAGATCCCTGCGAGGTCCCGAGCTGATCGGTGACATGCGACCTCTAGGCCTAGCTACTAAGTTGGAAGCAGAGTAAACAAAAATGTACTTTCTCTCAAGAGTTATTCTTCAAGTTGGATAGTTATCTATAGAACTAATCATCGATCATCATACGACATTTTTAGACATAAACATGTAAACACAGGCCCACTCAGTCCAGCTCAAGCCAGAAGAGAAGACTTCTTCATATCTTTTAGAGCAGGGGGGTTCTTTGGCACGCGCCCCGCCTTCAAGGGCATCGAGACTTTCCGCAAGCACAGCCGGACCACCGCGGAGAGGAAGATTAGAGTCTTCAAAAGCCCCATCCTCAGCTTCTTCGTTCTTAGGAGCCTCAACCTTCTGCACCTCAAAAACATCATCACGGCAATCCGCACACATCTTCATAACGTCCGCCAACGCTTTCTCGACAGCAGCAGCACGCTCGCGCATTCCACGTCGTAGCAGCGCATCGACAAGCAGCTCGGCCTCGGGTATAGTTGTGTTCACCCGTTCGATAAGACGTCTGATACTGTTGACCAGGTACTCCTCCTCGTAAACAGTGCCCTTCCGACCCTTAGCACGCTTGCGCTCCTCGCGTCGGCGGTTCTTGGACGTCTGTCGTGAAGAGCCCGTCCGTCCAGTCTTGCTAGTATACCGAGTGAACATAGTGCGACCGGCCAGTGTCGATGCCTCGGTCGGGGCAAGCGAGACATTATCTGGGATATCGACGCCGCCTTCTCCGCCGGTTGGGTCACCACCGTAGAAAGCGAGAGGGTCTTCGGCGCGAAGCTTGCGCAGTTCAGCGACTCGTGGTACTTGGGCGTTGAGCTGGTTTTTGCAGTCGGCGAGCAGGTCAGTCATAGAGCCCATTGCTTCCGCTAGGCCGGAGTCCACTATTTCTTCCACCATCTCCTTTTTCCCGTGAAGAGTGAGCAGGCGAGCTGCGTCGGCAAACTTCGAGCCGCGGCAGAGAAGTTTGGCCGCGGTAGTAATGTCATGCAGGTGTTCGGCGTAAATGGTTGCTGCTGAAATGTAGTCGCGAACTTCGTCGACGAGGGTATCTGCCAGTTCGGTGGTATGAGAGGCAAGCTCGGCTTCGGGGAGAGATGCCATCATCGCGCAGTACAAGGACTCGCGCCAAAGGTGAGCACGCTTATAGCATTTGCGAGCTTCGTCGTATTGTGCGAGAGATTCGTAGGCTAGACATCGCGTTAGCTGGATTCTTATGGATTATGTTTGAGGGGTCAATCACCAATCGCTGCATCCTTGGGCTTCGAGTTTTCTTCTAGGTACTCGGCATAAAGGCGAGTGATCTGTCTCTGCTGTTCTGGCTGATACTTATAGATTTCCAAGGCCTCCTTATAGAGAATATGTTTTGTAACGTATGCCTCAATTTCATCGTGGGCAGCAAGTGCAAAGAGATGCTTCAAGGCCTTCTCAAATCGAGAAAGGTGGTTGTCGATCTCGAATTTCCGTCGAGTCTCGGGCAATTGCTGCAGCTTTCGAAGGAAGGGGAGATATTCTCGGGGATCCTTTGCGGAATAATTAGATATGATTCTGTATTAAGCTCCATCTTATGACTTACCATTTGTGCCTGTTGAGCCACGAGAAGAGTGAGCTCGAGGTCATAGATACCCAAAGCATGTGAGTATAGTCGGTAAGCATCGGTCAAGAAGCACATATGCTCAATAGCATCATCTGCCTGCTCTGGACTTTTCACTATTGAAGTTGTGAGCTTCGAGCCTCTGCAGATGATGGAAAGTTGATATACCTCGTAATCCAGCTACCAGTTCCAATCCTGCTTCAAGGTCAGGGGGTGACTTGCACACGTGTGCTGTCACCAGGTTCTGCAGATTAGTGTCCATGCGATTCTGAAGGATCGCTAAGAAAGCATCGCAGATGGCATTGACCTTGCTGACTTTGCTTGTCTTTGGTACAGAAGCCACAGCTGGAGCGTCTGGCTGGGCAACGACCGCGGACTCGTTCTTGGAGATCTTCAGTGTGTCTTTGTACAGTGTTTGCGAGACATCCTCCTCCCTAATCATGATGTTAGTCTATATCCCTATCCACAGGCAAATTTTTCTTACTTTAAACGAGAAAGGAAATCATCAATGAAGTCAACTTTCTTGACTTGCTCGATAAATAGCTGAACACTCTGCATAAATTGTTGAGGGGCGTAGTCGTGGAGAATATTCATATCCACCATTTGGCTGCGACATGCCAGGAAGGCAGATCGGTACTTCTTCTGGTCGATGAATGTTCGAATACCCGCCAGCACCAAGGCACGTGGGTAGATTGTTTCGATGTTTCCACGAGGTGCCTGCAGAACAACAGCGAATACTGATGGAATAACTGACACCAGCTTCGAGCCTCGCTCAATGCTCCGGCATCTTTCATCGGTTTCTGGGGTATCTTCTGGGACTTCCATATCATCCACGCGGTTCAAGTGGACGAACTTGAGCAGATGTTGGGAGGTTGTAAAAAGAAGATGAGAGGGGGTCGTCAGGAATGAGGTGCAGTTCTTTGCCAACACGCGCTTGTTCGCATAGAGTGTGCCTGTTCGTGACATTGAAATAAGTACTTTCTCGTCCTCCGAGATTGACACGGCACGGGCCCAAGGGGTGTCAACATTCGGGCTCTCGACCCAGGGAGAAACTTCAAGTAATCCCTCGGAGTCGAGAGAGATGCTCGTATAGGTAGCACCCTTGTTTGCCTTGTGGGAGACCCACAGAGAGCTGTGACCGACTCCTGGAGAAATCGAAGAGAACCGGGTACCTACTGCCTCATGGACAACCTCGGTATCACGAGTCTCCAGCAGGGTTTTTTCAATGACGGTAGAATTAGGCGCAGACTCTCTCAAAACGAAGATTTCGTTCTCGTTAACAAAGGCGATCTGTCTGGGGCGACTGGTAGCGGTATCTGATAGCGGATAACTTGACTCCAAGATCGGTACAGGAACTGGGCGGCTCTTCAAAGACCACAAGAAGACCGAGAAGGCATCTTTCATGAGAACTGCGATCCTAGTGCCGGACTGGCTGAATGCAACATCAATGGCATTGGAGTCCAACTTCAACTCATTATGCGCCATTGGAGGCGGTACTCCAGCCAGACGGAGAGGAGTCAACTTCAGGGTTTGCCCATCCATCACAGCCACAGCACCGACATCATTAGGGATGACAGTAGAGCCATGATTGAGATCGAAAGCGTATTCCAGATCCAGAATAGAGTCAGACGAGCCTGCGACTACTCGCAATGCTTTCTCTTGATGCCACTCAAAGGAGAAAGGGATAGACAGTCGTGGGTCAACAATAATGGGGATCTCCTGCTTGAGATAATAGTGGTAATTGCCTGTAGTCCAGAGCTGAACTCGATCTCTGAAGCGAACGGCCAGCACAGTCGAATCGATGTTCCATGAAAGAAGGATTTGTGATCCCCAAGATAGTCTTTCCTCCTCGGTGAGACGGAGAAGTAAACTGGCCGTGGCGCAATCCATTGCGCTCGAAGAAAACAACATCAATTCGATCATCCAGTCGTTGAATGCCTGCGATGAGATTTCCAGATGGTCGCCAACTCAGGGCTCCCTCAAGTCCATCGACAGGTTCACTCACGCTGTCAAGGGTACCTTCTCTTGAGTATACTCGAATCGCACGGCGAGCACCTTCTTCGATGCTGTTCACAGCAACGTACGCGCCGTCACCTCGCCAGGTGATTGTGGTGGCAGCATCATCGTTGCTGCTCAATTTTCCCTCATCCACCTTCTCTGGTACAGTGGGATCTCGAAGAGCCTTTGCTCTCTTTCCTTGAAACTGAGTCTCTCGCTTACCCCAGCCGACTGAGACATGCTGGGAAGCCTGGAGATCAGCCTCGGTGAGTGTGATCTCGGCTACATTTTCGAACTCTCTCGTCATGTACAGAAGTGTACGAGCTCGGGTTGTGATAGCCAGTAACTCCTCATCTGGAGACCATGCAGCCGCACTGATTCCGACATCCACTGAGCCCAGGATTTCAATCTTATCCTCTCCGGGGAGGGGCTCCTCGCGGACCATGATAATATCACCACCCTCCAGCACTAGACATGCCGTCAGGTTGTCAGCAAAGTAATGCAATGACAGAATTCGATCACATGGAAGATCAGGCAATGGAGATGGGGCATCCCAAGAGGCCAGACAGTCGAACGCATCGCGGCTCAGAGGATGATCGGCCGGGTCATCAGTCTGAGTATCAGGACGCTTCCTCCGCAGCTCGATGATAGGGCTCTGCTCCGTTGGACCAAAGGTGCACACGACCGAGTCCGACGAGATATCCCAAGCGGTAGCCGTCAGAGGCAGGTCACTCTGGATTTGCGTTTCCCGCAGCCAGACATTTCGCAAATTGCGCATCTTCGGCGGGTATCAACTTTTTTTTTTTAGGTGGAGAGCCTCTTCTTTTACCCCGCCATGGGATGAGCGCTATGCTCTGGAAATAAATAAGAGAAGAAAGGGGTAAGAATTCCCTTCTAGCTCAGCTTGCAGTCACTTCTTACTGACTGGCTCAAAAGGGAGGTTGTAGTTGGAGGTGGAGGGAGGTTGTGTGTTGTAGCCAATTCTAATTCAACGCCGAACCACAAATTTTTGATTTTCCACATCCGCTCAGCCAATGACTTCATCCAGATTTCAACGTCCCTACAGCTCCCTTCTACAACAGCTACACAGCTACAATCGCATAGTTGATACGTGCAAACAAAACACCCAATCTCATTCTCTAAGTTTGTACATGATTCCAAGCGATTTCGACGCCCGATTGAGAACTTCCATCACTATAATCTTCCACCATACTGTCACGCGAGAAATACTAGTGAAACAGCTTATTTGGTCTTGTAGGTTTGCCAGACTAGGTAGAAAATAACCGTTAGCGTCCATTGAGCATATCAAAGGGGATTTCTGGGTCATTGCGAGCTTACCGGCAATACCGAAGGGAGCACCGAAGCCGACAACTAAGAAGGCAATCGAGTTAGTTACATGGGTCGCAGCATGTAGAACGGATGGCAACGGATGGCTTACCCATGAAGGACCAGTATCTCCAGAAGAAGTGCTTGGTCAGAGGGTTGAAGGGAATGTTGGTGCGAGGGCCCTCGGCGTAGTGGAAGGGGCTACCCATCTGGGTGCGGGTGGTGGTGAAGGCACGACGGCCAGTGACGGCCAGACGGGCGCGGATGGCGGGAGTAGCGTACATCTGAAGGAGAAGAATAGTGAGTCGGTGTGTCGGTAATGCAATTGTGTTGAATATCACCCACCTTGGGAGGTACTGAGGGGAGAGAGCGGACGATCGGGAATGGACGGGGCGAGGCCAAATGAACATCGCGAGGTGCGGAATGGGACGATGCTAGTCACGTGGACTGGAGTGGGTCAGGTGATCCATGCAACCAGTTCAAAGTCCCTCTCTCACCGCCTGCTTCATCAGGCACTTTCCAGTTTTCTGCGAGAAAAAAAAAAGAAAGCATCCTCGGAGTTCTTGTCGCTGTCTACAGAATTGCTGTCGAAAAGTCTACGCTCTTCCTTGGAGATGGACGAGCTTTTCGACGTCTTTGATGACAAGCCTCAGGCGGTTCAACCGTCTGATGGCGTCCCAAAGCGCTCTAGAAGAGACAAGAGCAGGAAACGTCAAGCCAACGGCAGCGTCAAGGCAAATGACGCTGCGCCGGTCGAGGAACCGGTCGACACGGCCTCTACGGACGAACCCATGGCCGATGCAGAGCCAGTCGCCGATGTGCCAACCCCCGAGAATGAACAGCCGGAAATAAAGCGCCAAAGACTGGACGAGGCCCCCGCGCCACTCGTCGCTGATACCTTCGAAACTGAACAAGAGGTTGAGATCACCGCCGGTGGACTGCAAGTCTCCCCAGATTCCTCGATCACGGTGTCTCATCAAGTGCGCCATCAAGTCGCCATCCCACCGAATTATCCTTACGTACCCCTCTCCGAGCACAAGCCGCCTGCTGAGCCTGCGAAGACATATCCCTTCACCCTCGATCCTTTCCAGCAAGTCGCAGTCTCCTCTATTCAAAGAGAGGAGAGTGTGCTGGTGTCTGCCCACACTAGTGCCGGAAAAACGGTGATTGCGGAATACGCCATCGCGCAATGTCTAAAGAACAACCAGCGAGTGATCTACACGAGTCCGATCAAGGCGCTGAGCAACCAGAAATACCGTGAGTTTGCGGCCGAGTTTGGTGATGTAGGTCTGATGACCGGTGATGTTACGATCAATCCCACTGCCAGTTGTCTGGTCATGACTACGGAGATTTTGCGCTCCATGTTGTACCGTGGTTCCGAGATCATGCGTGAAGTCGGTTGGGTTGTTTTTGACGAAATTCACTACATGCGTGACGCCAATCGTGGTGTTGTGTGGGAGGAGACCATCATTCTCCTTCCCGATAAGGTTCGATATGTCTTCCTTTCCGCCACCATTCCCAACGCCATGCAATTTGCCGAATGGTGCACCAAAATGCACAACCAGCCCTGTCACGTCGTTTACACCAACTACCGTCCGACTCCTCTTCAACATTACTTCTTCCCGGCCGGTGGCGAGGGTATCCACCTGATCGTGGATGAGAAAGGAGCTTTCCGCGAGGAGAATTTCCAAAAAGCCATGGGTGCGATTGCTGATAAGAGGGGCGATGATCCCAGCGATGCTCTCGCGAAGCGGAAAGGAAAGGGCAATGATAAGAAGCTTAATAAAGGCGGGAATAAGGGCCCCTCCGATATCTTCAAGATTGTCAGAATGGTGATGCTGAAGAAGCTCAACCCCGTCATCATCTTCAGCTTCAGCAAGCGTGAATGCGAAAGCGGTGCCCTCCAACTGAGAAACCTTTCCTTCAACGATGATTCCGAGAAGGAAATGGTTTCCAAGGTCTTCAATAGCGCTATCGAGATGTTATCTCCGGAGGATCGTGACCTGCCTCAGATCGCCAACATTTTACCCCTGCTGCGAAGAGGTGTCGGTGTTCACCATTCCGGCCTTCTCCCTATCCTAAAAGAAACCATTGAGATTCTTTTCCAAGAGAACCTGATCAAGGTCTTGTTCGCTACTGAAACCTTTTCCATTGGGCTTAATATGCCTGCCAAGACTGTTGTTTTCACCAGTGTTCGGAAGTTCGACGGTACAAGCCAAAGATGGGTCTCGCCGTCCGAATTCATTCAAATGTCTGGCCGTGCTGGTCGAAGAGGTCTTGATGACCGAGGTATCGTGATCATGATGGTGGATGACCATATGGATCCTGCGGTTGCCAAGGAGATTGTGCGCGGTGAGCAGGACCGCTTGAATTCCGCATTCCATCTCAGCTACAACATGGTTCTCAACCTTATGCGTGTGGATGGTATCTCTCCAGAGTACATGCTTGAACGGTGCTTCAAACAGTTCCAGAATACTGGCAGCATCGTAGACCTCGAGAAGGAACTACATGAGCTGGAAGACAGGCGGGCGAACATGGTCATCTCTGACGAGGGTACAATCCGCGAATATTATGACCTGCGAAAACAGCTTGACGGATTCTCCGATGACATACAAGCCGTCATCAGTCACCCCAATTACTCTCTGGCCTATTTGACAGGCGGTCGCCTGGTTCACATCACATACCAGGGTACGGACTTTGGCTGGGGTGTGGTTGTGAAATACACCCAGCGGAGACCCAAGAACGCCTCGGAGAAAATCCCTGAGCACGAATCGTACATCGTTGATGTGCTCCTGAAGCTTGCCGAGGGTCCTTCTATCGGTACCAAGTCATTCCAGCATTTCCCTCCTGGAATTCAGCCGGCCAAGGAAGGAGAAAAGTGCCGATTTGAGGTTGTACCATGCATGCTCACCTGTCTTCGCGAGATTTCTCACGTTAAGATGATGCTCCCCAAGGATCTCACTTCGGTCGACAATCGGAACAACGTCAAGAAAAATCTAGACGAGATTAAGAGGCGTATGCCAGATGGCATTGCGGTGCTTGACCCCATTGAAAATATGGGTATTAAGGATGATTCTTTTAAGAAGGTGCTCAGGGTAAGTACTCCCTGGCCTACGAAAGCTGTTTTTAATATAACATTATACTGATGAATGACTACGCAGAAAATCGAAGTTCTTGAGTCTCGTCTTGTTGGCAACCCCTTGCATAACTCGCCTCGGTTGCCAGAACTTTACGAGCAGTATGCCACCAAGGTTAACACGACCACTCAAATCAAGGATGTTAAGAAGAAGATTTCGGAGGCGACGGCTATTCAGCAGCTGGATGAGCTCAAGTGCCGCAAGCGTGTGCTTCGTCGCTTTGGCTTCATCAACGATGCCGAAGTTATTCAAATGAAGGCCCGAGTCGCCTGTGAAATCAGCACGGGTGATGAATTGATGCTGAGTGAGTTGCTCTTCAACGGTTTCTTCAACAACTTCACACCCGAGCAAATAGCCGCCGTCATGAGTGTCTTTGTCTTTGAGGAGAAGGTCAAGGAGGCACCTCCACTGTCCAAGGATGAGCTCGCGAAGCCTCTCAAAGACATCCAAAATATAGCTCGGACGGTCGCCAAGGTCTCCCAAGAGTCCAAGCTGGCCCTCAACGAGGAAGAATATGTCAATAGTTTCCATTGGGAGCTCATGGAGGTCATGTACGATTGGGCGAACGGCAAGTCCTTCGCGGAGATCTGGTAAGCATTTTGCCACCCCCCTTGATGTGAGCGGAGACACCCGAACTAACCACCAACTTTTGTTAGCAAAATGACCGATGTGTACGAGGGTAGCTTGATCCGTGTTTTCCGGCGGTTGGAGGAATGTCTGCGACAGATGGCGCAGGCTGCCAAGGTCATGGGCAGCGAGGACCTGGAGAGCAAGTTCGAGATGGCGCTCACGAAGATTCGTCGTGACATTGTGGCTGCTCAATCTCTGTACCTGTAAATACGATATCCCTAGGCGCACTTTAGGTGGAATCAAAAGAACACTAGTATCATTCGTTGTCTTAGTAGTATCACATATACCAGTAGTACATGGTAGTTACAAGTAACTAAGTTGTAACTAGAAGTACAAGTACAAGTAGTCGCTAGTAACAAATTTGTATAAAAATCTATAACCTTACCATACCAGCGTCAAAGGAGCATGCTAAAAATATTCTACTATTTTTTTCTCTAATTTCCCCCAGTCATCTCTCTTACCAAAAACCCAAAGTGTGCTCGTCAAGGAAAATGTTGCAGTCTGCAACGTTGAAAGGTGACCCCAGCAAAACCTGCACGGCCGGCGTGCGTTGCCTCCCGCAACGCTACCCACCGCCGTTTCTCTTCCCTTCTTTCTCCCCACCTCACCTCACCTCACCACACCCTATTGGGCACATGGGCACCCTTTCTTGAAAAAAAAACAAGACTCCCCTTTTTCTCTTCTTCAGAGCTCATATCCCTCTCTGAGAAGCTCATCTTTTCTTGCCATCCGGCTGTCATCATGAACAGTCTGGTGGCCACACCTCCTGTTCCTCCTCATTTCTACGAGCACTCTCGATTCTCTCCCTCCCGTATAAGTATGGCCTCCCTGGCTCTTTCCATCCCCTAGTCCATGGCTTGAATCATGCCCAGAGAGCTTCTCTGCAGACATCTGAAGAAAACTGAGCTGACCACCCCTCGCAGTGTCGACACCTTCATCGTCCTACACCAGCCGCAAGCGGAAAGCCGATGATGATGGCAATGACCACGATGGACGCATGTCCGCCTCTCCTACCAACTCACCCGCCTTTACTCCTCGTCAGCTCCCTTCCTCCTTCCGCAACATCAAACGATCCCGACCAAATGTCTCTGGCAGACCTCTTGCTCTTCCTCGTCTCCTAGAGACCTTGGACACCGATGCCCTCCGAACCGTCGTTCGTACCATGTGCGAGCGTCACCCCCAGCTGGCCGATGAGGTGGCGCACACTTCTCCTCGTCCAAGCGTCTCCTCCACCCTCCAGGTCCTTCGGAACTATCAGGCCGTCCTCCAGTCATCTTTCCCTCTCGGTGGCAACACTGAGTCCGATTACGCCTATAACAGAGTTCGTCAGCCACTTACAAACCTTCTCGAGGCTCTAAGCGACTTCACCCCCAACTTCCTCCCTCCCAACGAAACACAGCCCTCCGTCTCCCTCAGTTACTTGGACGGAGCCACGGATATCATCCATGCCCTGCCTCGCTGGAGCACACCACAGAACAATATCGAACGAGACTCCGCATATGATGAGATCTGCAAGGCCTGGATCCTGGTGATTCGGGAGGCAGGAAAGCGTGGCGGTGGCATCCAGCTGCAGTACGGAGGATGGGATCAGAAGCTCGCCAAACACAACCACACATCAGGAGGCAAGCTTCAGGCCGCCATCAACGAACTCGGCTCGAGCCTAGGGTGGATGAATGGACCGCAAGATTCCCAATCTCACAGCCCCGGCGGCAATGAACTTGGCTCTATACGGGACCAGTTGTTCTCCGGCACCTATGGCCTCGGAACTCCCGTCAAAGTCGGTCCCTGGTGAATAAAGCAAGAAAAACAAGAAAGCCAGATGACTCAGATCAGCGGCCTCCTCACCCACATACACCCCCTTTTCGAACTCGATAATACGGCACACCACTACCTTGGTTAAATCCTGCTTGGAATAAACACACTCCATACATCGCACCCGGATGGACTCACGTCCCCGTCCTCACTCACATCACGCTGTTCGCTCTCACGCCGTGAACCCCGCCCGACGGTCTTGAATACACTTATCCGACCGCACAACATTTCCGACGTATGCCACGATCACGATAACTACTGCATGACCTTTAGAGAATCCACATGGTCTCAGATTGGCGTTTTATAGTATGCAAAGGCGAATCACCTGACAACTTACTTTCATGTCTTCCTTTTTTTATTACCTTCCCCGACTTTCGCCCTCCGACCTTCCGATGTTACCCTGAATGGTTTTCTGTGATCTATTGGAAGAGAATGATTCCTTTTGCTATGGCGACTGCGTCCTACGCACTCCTATCTCACCTTATTCAATTTCCAATGAATTTTCGAAAGCTCTCGCCTGCTTTTTCTTCCGACTTCGTCGATTTCCAACCTCTCTTGTTCTTCTTTTTTTTCCTTTTGTCATATCTCGAGTTGTCTGTTCGGCTCAGTTCTCGACCTCTCGTTTCCTTCCATCCTCTTCTCTGATTTCATTTGTTCTCCTTCATTGCGATCTCGGATGGCGTGCTTCCTTTGTGATTCGATCGATTTTGCACTGTCTGGAGTTTTGTATAGTCAACAATTCATTTACACCGGTACTACTTAGTCTGATTCTTCGTCTTTGTCCAACTTTAAATATTGTATCCTCAGTTTACTTCGTATTCGTAATTCAAATCGGACCTAATCTTTGACCCTGTCTCGACGCAGGATGAAGATTCTAGCAAACCTGGGCAGCCATGGTGACCTGCTGGCGATGCTTCAAGTAGTACTGTCATCGATATCAAATGTCTTGCACGCTGATTCTTACACGCTGGTTCAACTCGAAAATAATCATAAGACATCGCTATCGCTATCGCTATTTTTCCAATCTGATCTCATGCCTTCGCGGTTGAGCTGGAGGATACTCGAGGAAACAAAAAAAAGTTGCGTATATACAAATGGAATAGCCATCACCCCAAAATCACCAACATCATTATATGATGGCACGCTTCACAACCCGGAACAACCAACTCGCATCCTCCCATCCACCCTGTTCCCCAGGCTTCTCAACAACAACCGGCTCCTCGGCATGGGAAACAGAATCAATATCAGAATACCGATCCAACTCCGCAGACGCAAGGGATAAATTATCATGACCCTCATCCCGCTCGAGACTACCTCCAGCCAGCGGTTCTTCAAACGTCACAGTCGTAGTAGTAGGCGTAGTCCCAATGCGCGTCGCAGCCGTCGACGAAAGACCCGGAGCAGGCCATTCCTCAACGCCAAACAAAGTCCACTCAACCAATCGATCAATCCAACTTCCCAACCCGAATCCACGCTCACGCGTGAGTCGCTGCAAATCAGCTTCGTCAAATTCATCCGGCGTCTCATCGGAGGAATAATCGTATTCGGACCCTTCATCCCCGTATTCCTCTCCATCCCAGTACTCCTCATCGCCTTCGAAGCCATCCCCGTAATAATCATCTCCATCTCCATCCCCCCGCTGCAAGGAAGCCATCTCCGCCCGAATCCGCTCATCCACAAAATCAGCCTCAAGACCTGATCCCGACCGTTCAGTCGAACTTCGCCCCCGTACCTCCCGGGTAATCGCACCCGAAGGACTAGAACTCTTACCCTGCGCCCCAGCCCCCGCATTCCCAACCGCCACCATCGACGATGTCGACGCAGTAGTAGTAGTAGTGGTGGTGGTAGTAAGCGGCAAAGAAGTCATAGTAAGACCAGCCCGACTCCCCCGCCGACTCGTCCCTCTAGAACGAGAACTCCGTCTAGAAAGATTCATCCCACCTGGCGTCGACGCACCGGAACCCGGCCGAGACTTTCGTGACGACCCCGACTTCGTGCGCCAGTGGTGCCGGTGATGCGTCGGCTCATTGTCGATGGGGATCTCGGTGACGAGACTGGTTGAACTTTCGCGTTTGGATAGCCAGCTTTGGCCTTTTTCTTCGCGGGTCGAGGAAGCGAGGGCTATTCCGGCGCGGAGCATCCATTCTGCGTCTGATTTGGTCGTGGGGGGGTTGGGCATGGCTGTGGGCGTGTTCGCTCTGTGGTCGGCGTATATGGGGTGAACTGGATGTTTTCTTATGCTGATGATGACTCTGGTGGTGGAGTGGGAGAGAAAGTTCCCGGGTATGAGATTGCAGATTTGAATCGCTGAATGTTGTGGCGCGGCTGGAGCTCTTGCTTCGGTGGTGGTGCCGGGTGCGGGATGTACTTCGCGAATGTGAGAGGATGGGTGGAGTGCTGGGGACGGAGACGCTAGAGAAGTACGAAGTTCGTGGGGGTGTTTTGGACCCGCTGGGTGTTGGTTCGAGAGTGTCGCGTGGACTGAAGTAGTCTGTTGGTTCGATGTCGTCGTCTATGGGGAATCGGGGGGTGAGTGGAGCGAGGGAGACATGGTGGAGGTTGGGGTATGAGCGTTGGGAGCGAAAGCCCCCTGGGTTGTTTAACTAAGTATTTGTTAGATAGGTGCCAGTGCCAGTGGTTGATGTCCCCGGAATTAGGTGATGGAGGGTACTAGCAGCATACTAGTAGTATACGTACCTCCATGGTGTGGTGAAGAAGAGAAGAAGACTCGGAAATGTCGAGATGTCTGGAAATGCGGAGGTGCTGCACGTGCGGGTTGGCATGTGAAAACGGCCGTGCTCGGTTCAAAATGAATCATGCAATACTGACGGTATGATGCTATCGAAGGTGGAATTGGGTTCTTTATTCGATTCGAAGTCACACGAATGGGCTTTCGAAGTAGTGGCAAATATGGTTGGTGCCCAGGTGAGATGTTGTAATATTTTGGAGTTGTACTATAACTATATACCCGGGCCAGTAGTACTACTATAAGTGGTCTGACCGAGGAAACACCACTGCATCTATCATCCCACCTGCGCTGGCATTCAACTTACCTTTAGTAAACAACTTCTTGAAAAATCCAACTTGAAGTACTACTAGTAGACTCTGGGTGGATTGAACAGTCATAACAATCATTTATACAGAATGGCTAAGTATCATCTATAACACCATGACCTCAAACAGAACTCACAAGCTTAAAGTCTCGAGTCTTGAAAGTCCAACACACCAGCCCCCTTAATTTTCAAATCCTCCAGAACATTATATTCCATAATCCACTTCATCCGCTCACCCAGCGCCCCCGGGTTGAAGTTATTGGTCATCTGGTCAGGGCTATCAGAGCTCGCCAGCTTACCAGCCTCGTAGCTAGTCTGCGTGACACGGTCTGTCCGGGGCTTGCGAAGATCCTGGTAGAACTGGAACGCTCCGGCGAGATCATCACCCTTCCAGTGGCGCAGAATAGTCGCGAGGGCAATACCAGACTCAATAGCCATACAGGTTCCTTGACCTATTCGATCCACGTTAGTCAATTGCGTCGGTGGGAAGGGAGGAGAGGAGAAATAAAGCCACAAAAAGTGATCAACATACCTTGATGAGGCAGCGTAGAGTGAGCCGAATCACCCAACAAAATAATACCTGCATCCTTCTGACCCTCCTTCATCTCAAACCACTTATCCAGAGGATCGCGCACATAAAGCGCCTGCTTCAAAATCTTCCCATCCTCCGAGCCCTTTCGCAAACCGGCAATGATATCCTGCACCTGCGGGCACCAGTCCTTAACATGTTCCTGCAAACTGTCAATATCAGAGCGAGACATCCAACTCTCCGAATCCCACGCCTCAAGCGGTTCAGACATGAATCCAATAACTGCCGCACGATCAGTCTTCGTTTCCTCATTCCCAATAGGAAGAATCAGAACGTGGCGCTTCGGACCGCGGAAATTGACCGTCTTCCGAAGCAATTGCGCCGTCTCGGATGGTAGGTCCTTGTAGTCTACAAAACCGCGGTAGACGACCTGACCCGAGTAATTCGGTGAGTCTCCCAGACCCATGTCGAGACGGACATTCGACTTGATACCATCGCATCCAATGACGATGTCTGCTTCGGCGGTGCTACCGTCCTCGAAATGGAGGGTGTATGGCGCAGTAGCACCGGCAGTGTTTCGATCAATTGATGACAGTCGCTTGCCCAGGTTTAGCGATGATTCGGGAACACGCTCCTTCAATGAATCCAGTAGATGCGCGCGATGCAGCAACCGGGCGGGCGGTTGCGAGAATTCCTCAATGTGGCCGAGATAGTCACCGGTCTCGTAGCTGTGGTATTCCATGTATGAAGGCAGTTTGCGGCTCGACTTGGCGGTCATGCTTTCTTTCAGACCGAAGGCGTCGAGGACACGATTGGCGTTGGAGGTGATGTTCACACCGGCGCCGACTTCGCCGAATTGGGGTGCTTGCTCGTAGAGCTGGACGTTTTTCAGTCCGCTGTAGAGGGCGGCGTTTAGGAAGGCTGTGCCTCCCAGGCCACCGCCGACGATGGCGACGCGCTTGTCTGCGAAACCCATTGTTTCAAGATGTGGGGTTGTATGTTTCCAGGTGCGTGTGTGTGTGACTTGAGTTCAAGATTTCTTTGAATGCAATGCAGGTGATATGGTGGGAAATATATGGACAAGAAAGACTGACGAGCTCGAGATATATGTAGTCAAATAGTTTGTATGGTAATCGGGAGTACCCCGCCTGCAGAATGACCGATCCGATGGTTAACAAGTTGGAGGTGGCTTTTCGGAGCGTGGAGAGAGTGTGGGGGTGGTTTGCCCAGGTGTCAACCCTGGAAGTTGTTACTCTTCCGAGGACTTTGGCCCGGATATCCCGGTCGATCCTACGGAGAAATAGGCACTGTTTGATGATCGGGTAGAAGGAGCCGTGTTGATTATGTACTAAATATATCCACTTGATTTAGTACTGTAGCTAATGATCATGATGTTATAGTTATACTAGTACATAGTAAATATATGCATATTCCTTTTGCCGGACTGAGATCGGCTGCGGTGGTTACTATTCTCATATCTCGTACATATGATCTATCATTCAACTTCCTTATTTTCCGCCTGGGAATAGCAAGATCAAGAGCTACACTCTTTATTGTAGTTGACTGTCCTACCCCATATACATCATAACGAATCAAGCTTGGTTATATCCCTCAGCCCCAGCCGTGCCCCTCCATCTCCGTGGATGCCATCGGAAGCCCCGCCACATAACCAGCCTGGCAGCATCCGATGGCCCCACTAACCATCGGATGGGCACAATCTTATCAGTTGCTTACCGGAACTAGCGGCAGAAGTAGGTACTCGTGCCCTCAGCCTAGGGTACCGGGTTTTCGAAACCCTGGCATGCCGGGCCACCAACTTTATGGAACCTTAAAAAAGAGAATAATCATCAACGTCATTGGTGCTTCCCGGTGGAGAGCCTCTATACGAACGGAGTCTTACGGATCTCGGGAAGATTTAGTGGATTTTTTTTTTTCTTTCTTTTTGTTAAATGAATAATTACATCCGAATGAAAAGCTCTATGTATACTAGTATCCCCCGAAAACGTCAACTCCTGAAATCGCTCAGAAGGAGTGAACACAAGAAGAATATCCCTCCTCAGACTTTTTTGGTCGTCCTTTATTTCTTTGATTTTATTGTTGGTGGGTATTGTTGGGATCCCATGTCTCCATTTACTCCACAATCTTGCCCTTGTTCACAACAAAGCCCTCCAGAGCCGAGATTGCCGCCCACAGACGGTTCTCCGCCTCAGGGAACACCAAGGAGCGAGGGCTGTAGAAGACCTCATCGCTCACCTCCTCCGGGTGGCGGGGCAGGCAGTGCATGAACTTCCAGTGCTCCTTGGCACCACCACGCTTGGCCAGGTCCGCGGTAATCTGGAAACCTTCAAAGGCCTTCATGCGGTTCTTGGCTTCCTCCTCCTGGCCCATAGAGACCCAGGTGTCGGTGACCAGGATATCGGCGTCCTTGACAGCCTCCTCGGGGGTGTTGGTCTGGATAAGCTTGCCGGCAGAGGCAACGCCCTCACCAGAGCGCTGAATCAGGTCGACCATGTCAGCGGGGATCTCGTAGCCCTTGGGTGTGGCGACGTGCATGTCAACACCCATCTTGGTCGCACCAATGGCCAGGTCGAACAGGACGTTGTTGGCATCACCGATCCAGGCAATCTTCAGACCCTCCAGACCCAGACTGGAAAGGTTGTGGGCCTTGGGAGTGAAGGATTCGTAGATAGTCACAAAGTCGGCAATGATTTGCAGAGGGTGGAAGGAGTCGCAGAGGGCATTGATAACGGGGACGGTGGAGTGCTTGGCCAGATCAGCCACGTCGGAGTGCTTGGAGACACGCGCGAAAATGCAGGAAACCATGGAGGAAATGACGACGGAGGTATCGTAGAGAGACTCGTTGACGCCGAGCTGGATATCTTCCTTGCCGAGGAACATGGGGTGACCGCCCATCTGGACTGTAGCGGCTTCGGTCGAGACACGAGTACGGGTGCTGCGCTTGTTGAACATCATGGCGACGGTCTTACCGGAGAGGGCTCCAATAAGACTTTGCGGGATAGCTCCGGACTTGATGGCCCGCTTGTGGGAGGAGGCATTGCGCACCAGGGTTGCGAACTCCGCGGGGGTCAGGTCTGCAATAGAGAGCAGATGGCGAGGGGCGAAAGGAGAGGTTGGAGGAGAGGTTTGTGTCTGGTGGGCAAATCGTCGAAGACCATTAGCCTGAAGAGTTCGACTCAGGGAAGAAGAGGTGGAGCCGGCCAATTGAGTTACACTTTGGGCGCCATAACGGGCGGCAGCTTGAAGACCGCTAGCCATTGTGGACTTTGAGATAGGAAATACAGGAGGTGCAGATGTAGGTGATGGTGCAGAATGGGTGTGTAGGTGTGTAGGTGTGTAGAGAGAGAGAGTGTGTGTGAGAGTGGATGAGTGCAATTGGGGGTAGAGGGGGGAGCGGTGGGGGAAATTGAAAGGGACCAGCAATGAGTCAAATCAAATCCGGAGGAAAATCATGGCTGACGCTGTTGGGTGCACTTGCCCGCGGTGCATTTTGGCTGGTTTGCTGGTTGGGGCTCCACTGGTGACTGCCGGTGGTGGTCGACACTAAGCCTATAATAGACTAGTGTCTCCTAGTACGAACGCGAGTGGCCGGCCTCGGCGCCAAGTGTTGGCCTGAATCAGGTGTCGAGTCGACATCATCGGATCTCCACACTTCTAGTCCCCGTTATCACTCCACTATCTCCATCTCACTCCCCCTCCAGGTCACTTTGTCACTGTCACACAAGAGGAAGAGAGAGGGGGAAAGCTACTTCTACTATTCAACTCACTACAACCATATCAATACACTCATGACTGAGGCGAGCAGGCCCTTGCTGGACGGGCAAGCCCGCTCCTCCTCTCCTACCCCATCTCAACAAAGACTAGGAGCCCGTCCAGACCAGCCTCGCCGATCATTTGAACTGTCTTCCGAATCCACACCACTACTTCATCGCCGCGATGATGCCGCAGCCTACGGGACTGAACGGCCTTCGTCAGCTGCATCTCGAAGATCGACCTCGACCGAAGGAGACGCTCAGAAGAAACCCAGCCGAGTGCGATGGCCGACCATCATATCTCTTGTTTTATTAACGACCGGAGTCCTATCTATTCTGATCTTCGCCTTTGCCGCGCCGGCTGTGGTCAAAGAGTATGCCCAAGAAGCTGCAGTATTCAAACCTACCGCACTATCAATCGACTCTACAACTCCCGATGGTGTTCGCGCCCGTGTCCAGGGTGATTTTGTCATGGATGCGAATCGTGTCAAGAGTAACTCGATTCGAAGATTCGGCAGACTCGCCACTTGGATAGCACGGGAGGTTGAGTCGGGCGAGTCGGACCTTGAAGTGTATCTGCCGGAGTACGGCAACGTTCTCGCTGGCACGGCGAAATTACCCTCTATCAAAGTGAACATCCAAAATGGACATGAGAACCACGTCGATTTTCTTACCGATTTGGCGGCTGGAGACGTCGAAGGTATACATTCGATTGCGATGGATTGGATAGAAGGCAGACTGGATCGTCTGAGAATCCGCGGCAAGGCTACTCTACACCTGTCGACCGGTCTCATTGCCCTCGGCGAACAAATAATCACCGACACGATCACATTTGAAGGTAAATGATTTTGATATAACCATTTGCCACCGTAACACTAACATGAACTACATAGAACACGACTTCCCCGCCCTACCAGTGATCAGCCTCACGAGGTTTAACGTACATGACGCTAAAAATGGGGCCATGGCCGTTGATGTGGCTCTTACTGCAAAGATTGATTCGCCGATCGCACTCACAATACCACCTCTTGGATTCGACGTGCTTGTGCCCAACTGCTCACCCGGCGACCCTCTTATCATGGTTGCCAATGCCTCCACAGCAGAGGTTGCAGTCCATACCAACGCGCCAACGGACGTCAACGCCAAAGGTCTTATCAAGAGAATACCAGATGAGTTGACGAGCAGTTGCCCGGGAGGAAGGGACTCGCCTTTGGATCTGTTGGTCTCGGGCTTCATTCAAGGTCAGGAGACCACCATCTTTGTTCGTGGTGCGGAAGCTCCACTGGCTCAAACACCCGACTGGATAGCCACTCTACTGCGCAGTGTCACCGTGCCATTCCCTTTCACGGGACACGCTTTGGATGACCTGGTCAAGAACTTCACTATGACGGACACACATTTCTCGCTCCCTGATCCTTTCGCTGAGCCCAATACACCAGAAGCATCGCCATCGGTGTCGGCTGTTATGAAGGTTCTCATTGGCTTGCCGGAGGAGATGAACTTCCAGGTCGATGTTCCTCGTGTCCGAGCCATAGCGAATGTGTACTATCGAGGTAACCAGCTCGGGGTCTTGAACCTCGACAAGTGGCAAGATTCCAACTCAACTATGACAGAGGACGAGGATGGTCTGGCCGCCCTACTGGTGGAGTTTGCTATCAAGGACGCTCCACTAGAGGTAACCGACAGTGACGTATTGTCGCAGGTTGTTCAGGCGATGCTTTTTGGCGACAAGGCAGTGGTGCTGCACGTTGCTGCCACCGTAGATACAAAGGTTGAGACTGGCCTGGGCCGCTTGACAGTACGTGGCATCCCGGCTTCTGGGGATGTCCCTGTGAACAGTATGTTCTCGTGATTTCCATAAATTAGATATATAGTACAAATCTAGCTTTGTTTATTTCGGTCATTGACTTGCTCATAGCTTCAACCGGCAACATGTTTGATCATCTAAATCTTCGTGTGGGTTCCTTGTCTTTGAACAATTCTACAGAATCATCGCTCTCGGCCTCAATTGAGGTGAACTTTACAAACCCTACAAGCTACTCGGCAACGATTCCCTTTGTTGACTTGTTGGTGTTATACAACGGGTCATCCATTGCCCATATCACTGCTCGCGATATCGATATCCAACCCGGAAACAACAGCAATATACCGGTAGAACTTTCCTGGAGCCCATTGGAGATGAATGGGACTGATGGTGTGGAAGCTGGACGAACCCTCGTTTCTTCCTATATATCAGGTGTGCATCCCCAGATAACCCATTGATCTTATATCATGACTCTAAATTGCATTCCAGGATATAACACAACAGTCTCCGTTCAAGCCCACGAAAGATCAATCCCAGCTATTCCTCAACTAGGAAAGGCATTGTCAGCTATTCCTTTCAACATTTCAGTCCCTGCTCTCTCCACACCAGGATCCCCAGATCATGGAAAAGAGCCGCATTTCATCCAGGATGCAACGGTAAGTACCACTCCACCGCTGTTTCAATCCCCTTACTCCTTCTCTCCCTCGAATTCGGCAATGGCAAAGGCTATTCTTGTTAATAAAAGGACTTCTATAGCTTCATCTTTGGTCATCGACCACTGATTTCACCCTCTTCTCGCCATTAAACAAGACAAGCATCACAATAACCTCAATTGAAGCGACTGCCTATTACGAGGGAGACGAGCCTCTCGGCAGGATAAAATATTATAAACCTTTCGACGTCCCGCCTGGTTTATCTCAAACTCCGCGTATCCCAGTCGACTTGATACTGGGTGGAGTTGGGTACGACGCTCTGCGCAAGGCACTCGGACAATCGCTAGAAATGGACGCGGTGGCCAAAATCGGAATCAAAGTTCTGCAGTACACCGATATCATACTCTATCGGGGTAAAGGGATTGCAGCAAATGTTAGACTATAGAGAGTGTTGAGATATGGACGCGGCCGACGACTGCCTTCTAATTCAACTTATTTGGGAGGGTAGGGAGGAGACTTTTGACGGTTCGTTTCATATGCCTACAGTATTGCTACAAAAAAGAACTTGAAACGCATGCAAAAGGCCAAGATAATGAAACATTTTACATCAAGTAGGAGAACCGCGAAGATTATAGCATAGAATCGAGACCCGAAGCTCAAAGCGGCGCGCAGCAAATAAACCAAATCATATTGGGTATGTATATCTTTGAATTGGTGGGTTGGGGGTAGATATTTAGCCAGGGGGCAGGGTGCTGGCATCGACAACGTCGGCGGCATCCTTCTCGAGCTCCTCGGTCTGCTCGGACAGAGGGGAACGGGGCAGAGCCATGAGACCAGTGCGGGTGGACTCAAGGATACCGAAGGGACCGATGAGCTTGAGGAAGGAGTCGATACGGTTAGGCTTGGCGGAGCTATTTGGAGATAAGGTCAGTAAAAGCTACTGGAAGGGAAGGTGGGCCGAGAGGACCGGGGTCAGCTAGGACTTACAGCTCGACAATGCAGTTGTTGGTACTGATGTCCAGGACCTTACCGCCGAATTGGTGAGTCAGGCGGGTGATGGCATCCAGATGCTCGTGCTTGTGGCGCAGAGCTTGGGATTGAGGCAAGTTGCGGGGGTGGTATTCGATCTGCTCGAAAGAGTGGCCCTGCTTGGTCTTGTCCAGGCTCTCAGAGGGCATGGTAATCTCGCGATGGTGCTGGAGGAGCTCCTCGAAGAACTCGGGGCCCAAGATGGAGACCTTGGCGAGCAGAAGCTCACGCTGCACCAGAGCCGACTCGGTGTAATCGAGAACAGCCCAGACGGGAACTAGGTCATCCAGCTGGCGGCGAGCCTGCTCAACCACGCCGTCCTGGCCCTTCAGCACGATGGTCATGCGGGAGAGATCCTCGACCTCGGTGTTGCAAACGACCAAGCTGTCAATGTTGAAGCCACGGGCGGCCAGAATTCCGGACACACGGGACAGCACACCGGGCTCGTTCTGAACGAGGCAGTTCAGGATGTGACGTTTGGGCGGGTTGGAGGGAGGCACGGGAGTCTCATACAGAATGCTCGAGACGGCAGTCGGGGCATCCCATTGAGGCGAGGCATCGGAGACCGGCAGAGGCAGAGGAGAACGACGGTGCAATGCCTTGTATGCCAGTGCTGAGGTCGAGCTGGAGGAAGAGCGGGTGGCATTGAATCGGGGCAGAGCGGTAGCAGTGCGAGACCGACCAGCAGCAACTGCAGAAGAGAACAGCGACGCTGACGCTGCTAGCGTCGAGGGGCGTCTGAAAGCCATGGCTGCTTCAGAATTGGAAGAAGTTGTGCGATGAATCACTCCAGACTCCCGATGGGTTCTCCGGATTCTTTTTGCTCTTCCGACCTCGGCGAAGCTGACTCACCGGCAACGCTAGTCCATCCTGGGGATAGCGTTATGCATCTCCACGTGACTAGGAATTTCCGGGCGCGAGGAATATCAAAGCAATTTATCGTTGTGAAAGTGCCAGTGATCGTGCCTTTGGGGAAGACTGTCTCTCTCACACACCCATCACAATTTCCTGGAAGCTGTTTCAATCCACTGTGAATTGGAAGTATCATTTCCACTGGAACAGAATTGATTGACTATCCTTTCATTCACGACCGCCTTCTTTCTATTCGCCAAACTTGGGACCCTTTCGCAAATTACCTAGACCTCTGTCTCTATCTCCCTGTCACCTCACACCTCACCTCTCCTCACCTCACTATGGCCGACGACGAGCGCAAAAGTAAGCGATCTCGCTTCGACCAAACCGAACCAGAGCCTCGTCGCTCCCGGTTCGATCGCCGTTCGCGATCGCCATCTGCCAGACAAACGGAGTCCACTCGTACCCGCAGCCCGCTCAGTCGCGAACCTAATAGCCCTGTCTCCAAACCTCCCGCCGACCCTGCTGCGGCAGCAGGTATGACTTGAACTTTTTACCCAATCTTCTAAGTGATCTACTTTCTAACAAGTATCGTTTGACTAGCTGCCGCTGCGGCCAAGATCAACGCCCAGCTTCAAGCTAAAAAGGGCATCCAACATGTTGATGTCCCCCCAATCCGTTCGGTATATACTTATTGCTTGTTGAAACGTGGTTATCAATAACTGATTGACTGTCGCAGACCGACAGCCCAGCTGGAGAAGACTCAGCTGCTGCGGACGGAAAGCCTCGCGAATCGTATGTTGCCGATGGCGACTACATCAAAGATCTTGAGATCAACGATCTGCGCAATCGCTACACCTTGACTAAAGGTTCTACTCAGAAATTGGTAATTGCTCCTGTTGTCGTTTGCTGATTCTCCAGTCTTCCTTTGAAGATCGAGTGCACTGCCTTTGCCGAGGTCTAACCCAAACTTCCCCGTTTCCTTTGCTCTCATACTCTTGTGTGGCTGGCTGAAGCTTACCCAATCCACTAAATGCATAGCATCTCACAAACCCTCTTTTGCATCTGCTGACCTCCGCTGCGTGACTTATAGATTAAAGATGAAACTGGCGCCGGTACGCCCTCTTTCTGTTATTTTGACGAAGAGATTTATGACTTACTGTTTTACAAGATGTCACGACCCGCGGAAGCTATTTCCCAGACAAGAGCATGTCGACAGCGGCTGTAAGTGGTTATCTATCCATCGCGAGATCGTAGGGCATCACTGACCCACTTCTTAGAACCCCCCTCTCTATCTTCATATCACAAGCCAAACTAAGGAAGGCCTCGACAAGGCCGTCGAATTGATTGACGATCTGATGAAAAAGGAACTTCCTAATCTAGTCGACGAGCGTCGATTCCGCCGACGGGAACCCGAACAGCAGGTTGAGCGGGATGAGTACGGCCGTGTATGAATTTGCATTTTTCTACTTGGCAAAGCAAAACAAAATGACTAATTCTTTACAGCGCAAATGGCCGGATGAGCGTATCCCAATTGACCTGGAGCCCATTCCCGGATTTAATCTGCGTGCTCAGGTTGTTGGTCAGGGTGGTGCGTATGTAAAGCATATCCAACAGAAGACCCGCTGCCGTGTCCAGATAAAGGGCCGTGGCTCTGGATTCATTGAATCCAGCACTGGCCAAGAAAGTGACGAGTCGATGTTTTTGCACGTTGCGTGAGTACCAACATCCCACTTCATCTCTTATTAGTGAGATGGGACCTCCAACTAACCCTATATGAAAGTGGTCCGGATGCCAATGATGTCCAAGAAGCGAAGGCACTGTGTGAAGACTTGCTTGCCAACGTCCGTGAACAATACCAGCGCCACAAAGATAACCCGCCTCAGTACAACAACTACGGTGATCGCGGTGGCTACCGCGGAGGTGATCGTGGTGACCGTGGTGATCGCGGCGATCGCGGCGATCGTGGTGACCGATACCATGGGGATCGTTACCAAGGCGGCGGTCGCGGCGGCGGTTACGGCGGTTACAACGACCGTCATCAGCACTCGAACTCTCCTGCTGCTGCTAGTCCCGGTGGCCAGGGCCAGGCCGCTGCTGGATCCGGTGCTGCCGCCAGCGCGGCTGACTACAGCGCACAGTATGCGCAGTACTACGGAGCTGACCCCTATGCCGCCTACGGTGGATACCAAAACTATGTCGCCTACTACCAATACTACCAAGCAGCCGCCGCTCAACAGCAACAGCAGCAACAAGCGGCAGAGACCGCTCCTCCTCCACCTCCTCCGGCGAGTGAGGCACCGCCTCCACCTCCTCCAGGTTCAGGATCCCCTCCCCCTCCTCCCGGTGGAGCCCCTGGTGGAGGAGGTAGCTACAGTGCGGTATGTGCCGTGTATTTATTTCTACCCATATAAAGTTACTAATGCCTCTCCCAGATCCCTCCTCCACCCGGCCTGTAGGTTTGACGACCACGCCAATGTGATCAGGTTTTTTCCGCCTACGAAGACAACCAACCTAAAACGCAAGAGATTTTGAAGTTTTGATATTCAAAAGTGAGGAAAGGCTAAGCGATTTGATCTTTTCATGCAATATTTGTGGGATGTGATATTTTGCTAAATAGGAGTTAATTGTTCGCCCGTGTAAACCCTCTTTCAGTTTTTCCCTGCTCCTGCAGTCTAATCACAGTCTTTACTATGGGATGTCTTGGTGGATACTTATCTGTTAACTCAGGCCTCGGATTTTCCGCTCTAAAGAGATGCACCTGCTTACTAGTTCTCTGGTTTAGCATGTCTAATAATCTGATAATCATGAACAGTTCAATACCTAATCATGTCTTGCAGATGCCACTCGCTACCCATAGTAGGCATATGAAGAATCACAGAAGAAGGGAAAGAATAGCTTGAAATTATGCAAAAACATGAAACCACCCTTATAATACCATATATACAAAAGCTGAAGTCCCTTCATCAGTCATGACCTTCATACATGACCTCCATCCTGTAATCAGGCACCATCTTCCTCTTCCTCTTCGCCAGCCCACCTCGACCTTCTTTGCAAAAGTCACAAGCAAAGTCACAGGGCGACGAGCCGATTCCCATTGCCTGGGATGAGGGCGGCTGCTGCGACCCCATTTCCTCCAATTCAAAATCACCAAAGAGGTCTTTGATCATATCATGTCGACACTTGGAAATACTGTCACAATAACGAATCACCTTCTGGAAGCTCTCAAGCCGAGCCGTCTGGTTCTTCAACAAGCTATCAACATGTTGTCTCGGCCCGCCGCGATTCTTAACATTCTCCGCATCCCGAGAGAGACGGTCATGAATCCGGTCTCGTTCTTGCGTATTGTAGTATACGAGTGATGCAGCAGCTCGGCCGTCACGACCTGCTCTACCAGATTCCTGGACAAAGCCTTCGAAACTGCGAGGCGGTGTCCAGTGCACCACGAAGCGTACATGTGGGTTGTCAATACCCATTCCGAACGCATTGGTTGCGACAATAATCGAGAAGGCTGGCGAGGCGCTCCCATCTTTGGGCTGTTCGCATGGTTGTGACGAGGTCCACAGTGTTTGAATCCTAGTTCGCTCTTGAGGGGCTAACCCGGCGTGATAAGCGACTGCAGACACGCTACTCTCTCGCGAAAGCTCGACAGCAAGCTGTTCTGCCATAGCGCGAAGCCCAACGTAAATGATACCTGATACCGGTGGGAGTTTGGCGGCGGCTTCAGCGCCAATCCGCGCGGCGCGTCGGGTTTGGATTGCCTTGAGCCACTTGAGAAGATTATGAATTTGAGAATCTCCATCGTCGGAGTAGTCTTCTAGGTACCGGACCTCGTAGTGGATGTTCGGACGAGCAGACGGCGTGTTGAATAGTCGAAGCTTTGTGGTGTCAAGACCTAGCATGCTGATTATGTCTGAGCGAACACGCGGCGTGGCCGTAGCAGTGAGCGCAGTGATGGGAACGGCCGGGTTGGTGAGATTGTTTTTGAACCAGCCCAATTCTTGGTATGCTGGGCGGAAGTCATGGCCCCATTCACTGATACAATGGGCTTCATCGATAGCAATGCGGTTCAGTTGCTGCTGCTTGTGAACTACCTGAAGATTCCGGCGGAAGCTATCAGTTTGGCAAAGCTCGGGCGTCACATAGAGAAGTCGAGTGCGAGGGTGGCCTGAGAGCATATCGTCCAGGATGAGACGTCTCTCGGCCAGAGGCGTATTTGAGTTTATAGTCGAAACAGCCACGCCAATTGCCTGGAGAGCATTGACTTGGTCCATCTATTCCGGTGTCAATTGAAGAGCGGCATATTTAGAACAGTACTTTGCCTACCATCAGCGCAAGAAGAGGGCAAATGACAATAGTCACTGTCCAATCAATGTCAGCAAGAAGCCTTTATTTGCGCGCCAAAATAGCCGGTAAGTACTACTTACACCCAGTGCCCATGACGGCCGGGAGTTGAAAGCAAAGACTTTTGCCAAAGGAGGTAGAGGCCTGGAGAAAGACATCATGGCCTTCAGCGACAGCAGAGATCACCTCTCGCTGCAGTGGTCTATCAAATCGTCAGGGAATTTGTTGATGCGCGTCAGGTTGAATGGCACTACTGACCGGAAGGACTTTTTGCGGAAAACACGATGCAAGTAAAACTCTAGATCGGGCTTTCTTTGCGGAAGTACCCTCCGATTATCCATTTGGAAGCATCTCAGAGGGATCTGAATGATCAAAAAGTAGTGTTGAGGAGATTACTTGCACTCGTCCGTCGCGTCGGCCCGTGGGGGGTGCACATGGTCACGTGAACTTGTCCATATTTCCACTTTGGGACATCAAGTCTGTTACCTAAATTTACTACAGTCTAGTGTTCATATGAGCTATTTAACAACTTGGAAAATATGGATAATAATATGGTGATATGTGAGCCCTTAAGCCTTAATTCAGACTATCAGTTATGGGGGCTTCGATCTAATTGCATAGGAAAAGAAAGTACATCATGACGTAAAATCGGCACAGATCATGATACACACATAAAGACAACATAGACCTCTTTGTTAATAACTCAAGGGCTCTTCAGAATGGCTCTCATTTGACAGAAATGGAAATCAGCCACAAAAAAAACGAGAGGAAAAAAGAGATAGAACAAAGGTTGCTGATTCTTTTATGTTTCAGATTGTGGTCTTCTTTACTTTGATAGGCTTGCACAAGAACGGTCCCAAACGGATCCCGATTCAGCCTCAAATATCAGAAACCAAGAACCACGGATGTCTACTTTTGCATAAAAAAACTTTCGCTTTGTTTATTTGAAAGCTATATTCTTGCCACAACCTTGCCCATCAAAGCCTTTAGACTTTTCTCCGATCTTACTCATGAAAATAACCAAGCGAGTGCACATTCCAGAAATTCAACCGGGATTAACATGATTCGCCAAGCTGATATCTCTAAATATGATATATATGTGGCATTTCTGAGACCAAAGCCTATTCTCTTTGGTGAAAAGGGCATTCACTGGTCCATCATGATTGCCCATCCGGGATTGGAGTACGGCACCATGTACCATATAGTCCGAAGTCGACGAGCAGGAAGTCTTTCTCATTACGAGCTCCACGTTCGATCATTCAGACCACTCGACGGTGATGAGATGATAGACAAGAAGCACATTGCCACCCTTGCGTCGACACAGATTGACCGATTCAATACAATCCTGGCATCTGTGCCCTTGCGCGATTCGCAAAAATGGAGTATCGGGAATCTTTACCGAGAGGCTTATGGATATAATTCGGAGCATTGGACGATCGAAGTCATCATGGCTCTTGAAGATTGGAAAATGGTCCGTTATGGAACTAGTCTTTTTGTTGAACCGGGCTCAACTGTTTTTTGACAATTCGAGATTAGAGAAGGACTGTACTATATGCCATTTCTTATATTACAATAAAGACTCGGAAGTATTGGTATATCTTTATTTCCCACTTTCAAATGGTTTACGAGAATGACTCCAATAATTGGGAGGTTGCGATTTACTAATGAACATATGAATTAAATGCAACGCTAAGCCCGCTGCATCAAGGATAGAGAAAAAAAGGCCGGGTAATCGACACAGCCAAAGGGGTCATATTATTGCTCAGAGATCATCTCCTTGAAAGGTATTTGTGATCCGGATGACCCTTGTGACTGTGGCGGGCGACGAGGCACACATGTACTAGTATCACGAGTCTGACTCATATCTTCTAGATGTCGAGTATGTCCTTCTTCCAAGTCCTGCTCCATCGATCTTGTCTGAGAAGTATGTATTCGCTGGCCCGAGAACGAGCTAGTACCAGTGTTATCGCTAGCACATTCAACGGCCTCTCTTTGACCACTGCGGACGAAGCTGACGAGGCGACCGAGAATCGCGAATTCGAGTTTGAGTTTGATCGAATAGAATACACCTTTGAGTATGGTTTCGAGGATCAGGAGGGAGGCGTATTCTATTGAGAGAAGTCCCACATCCAGCAGGATGATAACGATATTGATAGTAACAAGCAAGTTCATGCGCTGACGGCTCTTTTTTCGAAAGGATCCTTGGAGAAGTTTCACCGTCGCGATGATGTATATCAATGACAAAATTGTCTCTTGGACACTGAAAGCGGATTAACGTCTGACTTGAATTTCTCAAGTAGGTAGACAGGAAACTTGAAATGTAAGAACTTACAAGAAGCCTGTCATTTGAAACTTTTCCACAACATTGTAAGCCTTAACAAAGTTGTTGGTGTCAAGATCACCGAATGAACCAAAGGTCACCACAGTGGTAGGGATGTGGAGGAAGATAGCATTGAAGATAATCATCCACTTGGTGTATAAAAGGATCTTGCTTCCACTGCCACCCGTAACGACAAGGTGTAGTCGAGACCATAAAACAACAGCTTGGCCTGTGACCATAACATACCACCCGATAGTCAACAACGAAAGAGAAGCCCACTTCGCGTTCCCTTTCAGGGTTCCAAAGAATTTGAAAGCATAGCCCAAAGAATAAGGGATCAGGCTAAGACTCGAAATAAAAAGACTCCAAAAGTAAACTGTGGCATAGCGTGAAAAGGTCGAGAAAATAAGTACCACGAGCTCAATCCCGTTATAAATCGTCAGGCCCGCGCAGAAAATCACGGTCGCTTTCAGCGCTAGGCTATCGCCCGTATAGCTTCCTGTGACGCCAGGTGCAGCATTGGAAGCTGAGTCCGAGGACTCCAGGTCAGCCATCGATTCGCGATTCGCGCATGGCCGTCGCGATGCATTTCACAGATTGATATGGGCAGGATGGGATCGATTCAGGGGTTGTCGCCCCCGGGCGTCGATATAAGAATCCTTCGACATCAGTGGCGATTCTTGGGGCTACGCAATAGCTACACATTATCCAGCACGTCTCGTTATTGGGGAAATTCCGCCCGTGCTAAACTTTCCGCCACGCAGGGTTGCGAAACGTCAGGTGATTCCCCGGAAG